ACGATTTCTTTTTGAAAGAAATAAATTAACACATTTATTCAGTAAAGATGTGTTAAATTGATCAAAAGGGACAAAACATTCTCTTTTAAAACTTTCTAGAGATCAAAAAAATCCTAAAAAATATGTATTGTGGTTTCCAAAAAAATATTAAGCAGCAACACTGATAATAATAAGAAATGTTTCTTGAGCAGCAAATCAGCATATTAGAATGATTTCTGAAGGATCATGTGACACTGAAGACTGGAGTCACAAAAATAAATTTTATTTTAAAATATATTAAATATAAAACAGTCATTTAATTGTATTATTTCACAATATTCCTGTTTTTACTGTATTTTTGATCAAATAAATGAAGGTCTGGTGAGCATAAGAGACTTAATTTAAAAAAAAAATCTTACCGACCCCAAACTTTTAAATAGTATAAACCATTAAGCTGCTATCTGAAAACGGTCTTAAATTTACAGATATTGTAATGATGCAGTGTGTTACTTGGATATTTCAGTATTCCAGTATATTAGATGATAATAACTGTTCTGCATTTCCATTGCAGTCGGACAAAATGAGAGATCAAGCGCTCAATGTAATGATGGGTGGAGTTCTGGAGCTTAAAAAAGAGGATGTGTTGAAGATGGTGAGATGGCAGAAATAATCTTATTGGAATGTATAAACTTATTTATCAAAAAGTACACAAAGGCATTGGAAAATAACATTTAAGATATGCTTATTTCATAGGAAGTACCTCAGCCTGAGTTCATGTCTAAACCTGAAGTACAGTGGACAGAAGACGAGAGAAAGAGCTTCAAAGAGTTTGAGAAAAAAGCAAAGGAGCTCATAGAGGAGCAGGAGAAATACAGAAAAGTATGACTTTGATCACATTACACTTAAAAGGATCGTTCACCCAAATTCTGTAGGTTTGTACTGTCAAGCTTTGAAAATGATTTTTTTAAAGCACCATAGAAGTATCATAAAATGTATCCGTACAATGCTTATACTATATTACAGATCATCTGAGGCCATTCAATAACTTTTTTGTGAGGAACAGATGTCACAAAATCTTATTTGCAGTCAAGTATATTCAAGTTGCTGCTTCAAAATCCATTCACAGTATATGCAAAAACCAATGGTCATTTGGCATCATTGGTGTCAAATCTGCATTTTTGGATAACTATTCCTATAAGCAATCACTCCCTTACATTTCAAATCTCTTTAAAACAAAGTCACTGTTTCCCTAGACACTGGAGACAGAAATGAAGAAACTGCTGACATCTATTAAAGAGGCTACCCAGATGTTTGACGAAAGACTCACAAAGCTGTTTGAAAGGAAGGTGAAATCAGAGATGGTCATATACCAAGTAAGATGATACAATACATCATTACATTTTTGCATGTCACCTTTTCAGGGGCGTACTGTGTACAAATAACATGCCCTGCTAACAATGTAGTCATGTAACAGTAACTGCTCATCTACTACTATAGATTATGATTTTTTATCCTTCAGGAGGAGCTCAAGATTGCAAATCTGGTTCACTCCATTCAAACCGAAGAAGAGATCCTCAGCAGAGAGAATCAGTTGAGCCTAAAACTTGAGAAGGCACGAATTGTAAAGGTGATCTTTGTTTGTATGTAGATATTCTGTCTTTTATCATTTATTCAGCCGTGCTGTTGTCTGTTTACAGTAACTCTATGTCAGAAATTGGCAGTTATTATTTGTTATTAGACAATTATAATGTTCCTGATGATGAGACAACAATTTCAGGCAAGAACAAACTTGTGTGGCACTGTAATCCATTCCTGTGAGGCTTGTTTTGTACATTTTCTAATGTATGAGTCACCTCTCTTTCCTGACAGAATGAAATTGGGGAAGAACTGAAAAAACACAGGGAGACCGTTGATGAGTTTAGAGAGGTGTATGATAACACAGTCGCTGAGGACAAAGTGAGATTACGAAAATATCATACATATGCATGTCCATAATGTTCTCACCAAGAAAGTCTTATTTTATAAACCCTTTTCCTTTTTTACAAGCTTCTCGACAAAGGATTTCGCAAAGAGTTTTATGACATCCCTGGACATATAATTGACCAGCTCTATAAGCTTTACAAACGCAGACCCAGGTATTATTTCAGAGAAGTTGCAACTTCAAACATCCATATGCATAAGACAAGTGTTTGTCTAGTATTAATTACCTTTGAAAAGAGTAAAAAAGCGTTGTTTGACAGGGTTCAGAAGATAAAAACTCAGACTGAAAACAACCCGTTTAAAGAGGGGGCGCTGTTAGGAACAGCACCATCTGATGGACTCTCTCTGATGATGAAGGCCATGGAAGAGTTGGACGCTCCAGAGAACATGCCGGAAGGATTAGATCCAGTCGTTTGGGAAAGGTTTTGTCTGGCCAGACGGGCCAAAGTGGAAAGTGAACAAAAGGTGAGAATGGGTAGACGTGATGCAAAGAAACTAAAAAATGTCCCCCAAATCTTAAGCTGAGTTCCTCATAATTTATAATCAAAAACTGTCTGAGAAGGGTTTTACGTTGACTCGTGTAGGTCAAACTAAAGGCACTGACCCTGGCGGAGATGCAGGCTTTTCTTCAGAGGAGAACAGATGAGGACGAGAATGCTCAACTTGAAATCAAAAATCTCATTGATGAACTCAATGGGTGGGAAGAACAGTTCATTATATAAATGAAGGATATCACTGGAAATAAGATGTTATTGAGAATCTGTGGGCAAATAATTTCATACCTAATATTGTCTTAGCCTTTGTGAAGAGAAGATGAGGTTTCGACTGGACAGCATGGTGCAGATCCTTCTACAGCAAGGCCAGGTGGAAGTGGAGGCTGGAGACTTCATTGCTGACTATACCGATGCTCTGCTGATCCATCGCGGAGTAATTGAGGACCTGAACAGCACCATCAGGGTAAAGAGTACTACTCATCAAAATAAAACCTAAGGGAACATTGTCTGATAAATTCACAGATAACTTATCTGATTCTTTGTCAGTTTATGCAACTATTCAAACATTTCTTCATTCATTCATTAATAACTTGTAAACTGATTTATCAATCAGGCGTTAGGAGATCAGAAGATTGCCAGCATGGTGGAGTGTAAAGACTTCCGCAAAGGAATCATACAGCAGGAGTGGGATCACAGGAGAATGAGAATGGAGCTGGAAGATCTCAGCAACAAAGCCAGAGACATACAGACCCTGCGCATCACTCAGGAGATTCAAGACGTATGGATTTAATCTTTAGTCTTTCATTTGAAGTAATCTTGATTGAAAAAAAATCTAGTAAAAATTGAAGAGGAATATGATTTAACAGATCTAAGACAAGAGGACACTATAGCTCAGGATTACCTTTGCCTGTGAAACTTTAATGATATAATATTACAATTACAAATATTTGTTTCTTTGTATTTTTCTCATGTCAGTACCTGACTGAAACAAGTAATGACAACATGGTGTCAAAGCATCTCACAACTCTGGAGAGGACCATAGATTTACAGGAAACGGTAAACTCGCTCATTACTTTTCAAGCACCTTGCAAAGATAATAATCATAGAGTAACTTAGCCAGATGCTTATTTCTCAGCACAGGCATTCCCCAGTTGTAAATTCAGTCTGGATGATTACATTAATCAAATTCAGTGGCAGATATAAATGGGTTTTTTTTTCACTCTTGATCTAGACTCATCAAAAGAAAATTGAGACTTGCAAGAAACAGATAAAGCACCTGAACAGACAAGATGCACAAATGCAAGAGAAGAACGCAGCCCTCGACTTAAGAATAGCTGACATGGAGATAACTGTTGCAGAGAGAAGAAATATTGTCGAGGCCGTTGGTAAATTACTTTATATCTTGCTACTTTAAAGAAAGTAACAATTTGGTTTTAGCAAATATAGATTACTTGGTACCATTCAAAAGTTTGGGGTCAGTAAATTTCTCTTTTTTTTTTTAGGAAGAAATTAATACTTTGATTTAAGGACACATTAAATTGTATCAAAAGTAAAGACAATTATAATTTTACAAAAGATTTATATTTAAAATTAATGTTGTTCTTTTGAACTTTCTATTCACCAAAAAATGCTGAGAAATGTAAACAATAAGAAATGTTTCTTGGGCACCAAATCAGCATATTAGAAGGATCATGTGACACTGAAGACTGAAGAGTAATGATGCTGAAAATACAGCTTTGTCATCACATGAATAAATTACATTTTAGATATATGAATATCTAATTTAGATATATTTCTCAATAGTACTGTTTTAACTGTATTTTTGATCAAATAAATGCAGCCTGGGTGATCATAAGCATAAGAGACTTATGCCACGTTCCAGGCAACCCGTAACCCGTGTTTTTTCAACTCGTAACTGGGAGTACATCGATCTAGTACGAGTTCACGGATGGGAAGTCACGGGTTTGACTGCCATTCCAGTGCACTTTCACGGGTATAAGGTTGGAAAAACACGGGTTACAGGTTGCCTGGAAGGATGTACTCCCAGTTACGAGTTGGAAAAACACAGGTTACAGGTTGCCTGGAACGCGGCATTATTTCAAAGGCATTAAAAAATTACTGACCACAAACATTTGGACAGTAGTGTAAATTAACCTATTGAATTTAATTCATTTTTTAAAAGATGCATGATTTGTACATTCTGTTCATGGTCAATGAAAAAGGCCCAATAACTGAGTTTTGAGCCAAAATATAACATTTTTATTTATTTATATATGTTAACCAGCAATGGGAGATAACAAGAAGACAGAGGCAGAGAAGAACTACCAAGATATCATCTTGAGAAAGAAGCTGCTGAACATAGTTGGAGCACAATCTGAAGAGATACTCCTACTGAGAGCAGAGGTTGAGAAACTGCGTATGAAGAACTTCCCATCTCTTTCTAAACTACACTACAACTGATTTAGGATACATAACAGATTTATTATTTCAGCTTTTGGTTGAAAAATAAAATTTTCAACAGACAGACATGACAACACAAAAAAAGTGTAATAAATTACAATACAGTTTAATAAACCTATCAAAATTCACACTGCAATGTCGTATCAATTCCACACATAATCTGAATATTTTCTCAATCCAAATGTTTTAATGAATAACCAGGTCTGAAATGGCATGTTACAACCGGTTTAACAGTGTGAATAAAATTAATATAATGACTTTTAGGTGTCCGTGAATTCTTCCTCTGTCCTATCAAAGTGCAGTAACTTGTCATCTAACCCAAAGTTGTCTATAAGCTGAGACAGACTAGTTTGTTTTCCCTCTGTGGGTAATTCACTTTGCAATTCATACAGCACAGACTGAGCACAAGATCTCCATTTGTCTATGAGCATCTGCAGCCGGGTCAGGTCATTCTATGGGGAAAGACAGAGCAAAGAGAAACACTTCAACAACACCATTCTTTGCTTATAGGTTAATGCCAATGCCAATACTTAATTTAGATGTTTACCTTGTTTCTATACATCTGGACCATCTTTAATCTTCTCAAGGTTTCTGATCTCTCCTTCACTGCTTTTCTAATCTCTTCACATTGCTGAATCGAGTCGTTTGGTGCAGTCTCAGCTGTGTGAACGTGTGAACAGTCTCTTTGCTCCCTCATATCATTCTGATTGACATCAGTATCAGTCTCTCTTTCCTCAGTCACGCTGTGCTTTGTGTCTCCAGGTTGTGAAGTCTGTGGTTGATTGTCATCTTCAATTTTAAGGCGTTTAACCACACTAAGGGGGGATCTGAATGTGTGTCGTGCTCTTTTTAACTTCTCCTTCAGTGAGGCACTCATGGACTGAAGTAAAAAACAAAACAACTGTCAACAAAGTATCAACAATAATCACAAAGACAAGTACGTCTTGACGGAGTACAGTCAGTGATTGTACAGTACAGTGTTTTTGTGTGTGAAAAATTACAATGGTGTACGAGCTAACATTCTTTGCTAATGTTAGCTTCGTCTGAAACCAAATATTAGAAGAGCCAATAATCTGTAACGTTAACTTACCGTGGTTGCGCTGGACCTACTTGAAGAAGACTGGGCTGTATTCGGTGTAGTTTCATTAGCTGGTGTCACTGTCAGTTTTATCGGGGTTGTCTCCATGATTGACATCATGTGAAATCGCTATGAAAAGGACAAAACGTCTAACGTTACATAACTCTACACTGACAAAATAATATATCCGTTTTGCTGGTGTAAAAATTTGGAAAGCAACACTATATACATCTGATTTTTCATCTGTAAAGTGATCACTGATCGGTAGGCAAATGTTTTGAAATTGGTGCAAGTTCCATTTACTTCGTTGTCATTTCCGGTCCGTCATACGTCATTGTCATGATCAAGAATCATGGGAAATGTAGTCTAAAATAACTGTTTTTATAAAAGTTAATAATAAGATACATAAATGGAAGAGATATGCAATTATTACATTTCTAGTCTCTTTCTTTTAGTATAAAAATTATTGTTAGAATCCAGCACCTCATATTTCATTTATTATTTTTAATTCACAAAATAACAGAAAATCTACAGGCTACTGTGCAAAAGTCTTAGGGCACACTAGTATACTAGTATCATTCATGTTTTTTTATTCAACCCCATGGCTGTTCTGTCTCTACTGGAAATATTTTCTGTCTTGTTATAACTTGTGAAGTCATAATTGTTTAATAGCTGTAGACTCATGCACTCTCACATTTTCCCTATTTGTCTTGGGTCTAATACACTGGTCAGAGAGAGAGACATCCATTATCTTTTGTGACTCATGTGCATTTTGTATCATCAGGGTGTGGTCAGTGGGGAAAATACATCAATAGAAAAAGGTAAATCTCAAGAGAAGCAACACCTTTTTTCCCTTGGTAAGCTTGTATGTCCCTAAGGAACATTTGCATTGTTCTGATGATTCACTGATAATAATAATAATGAGTAATACATTTACATAATATTTATTATAGCATTAAATCATATCTGTCACACACACACAAAAAAACGTTGTATAGGATTGGCTAAAATGGTATGTATGAACACGTGTACATCTGTAAGGACAGGGAGTTAAACTCTTGCTGGAAATGAATGCCACCAGTATCCTCATCTGACCCCATTTCAAATCTTCAGACTGTAAGCAGTTGACAAATTCAAAGTAAAATTATTCTAGTCATGTTCCTGCAGTTTCATGCTACCAATGCTTCCTTTGAGGTATTTGAAAAGTATTTAAGATTCCCAGGAAATGCATGAGTCGATCAAATATACCTTGAATATGTAGAATTTTTTAGTATGTTGAAAAACATGTCTGTCAAATGTTTAATGCTTAATGTAAGCATATAACACTTGTGCAATAAAAGACTAAGCATGACATTTTGAAGCCTGCTGAATGTAAGGTCTGTAATGTAACCTTATAACTTACTGAGAACATAATTTTACAGACTCTCAAATAAAACATTGGCTAAAATGAAAATGTCAGCTGACGTTGAACAAAATGCATTTTCTGTTACGGTTACACTGTTATGCCAACAGAAGTAGATTAAAGCTATAGTTTTTTAAAACGTAGTTTTATTTTTTCTAGGTGAAGTTACTGACGAACGCATCCAGCCACACCTGCGTTCACCTGAACATGTCCTAAAGCTTTTGCAGGAACATAATGAAAATTGTGATTCCTGAGGGTATTGTCTTCTTTAAAAGTCTGTATGTGTGTACCTGCCAAAAGACAGGGGAGTGGCTCCATATTAAATCCTACCCAGGAGTCATGTGGAGACTTGCCTATCAAAGTAGAGAGAAAATCAGAAAGAAAGCGGCAGAAATCAGATAACAACATTCATACTGCACAAGTGAAGTTCACAGACAGCTCTTAAGTAGACTTACTTTATTTAACATCCAGACAGCCAACATTTTTCTCTTCAGATTCTCAAGGATCGAAGGTAAAACACATTTACATCAAATATATATATATTTTTTTTTACCAGATAAAAGTAAAAGTATAAATTAACCATAATAGTTGTTTCAGTTTGCCTATATGTAATTAATCTCATGGGGGGGAAATACTTTTGTATTGATCTGTAATTATTATTTTCTTAGATGCAGATTCTAAAATTATGTTGTTTATTATCTGTCCAGAGATAATTATAAACCATCTGTTGCTCTGTGAACAATGTGAACAATCAGAATTCTTTGTATCTTGGTTTGGTGTGGGGTTACACCTGACTTGAGACTGGAAACCAGATTAAAACAGTAGAAAGCAAAACACCTTCATAATTTAATGATAAATAAGGGACCGTTTCATTAATTATATTTGTAAATGTTTATTTATTTTATTCTAATGTGGGAAAGAAGTTAGGCTAAACCCTTAGCTGATTCTGAATTGAGTTCTGAAAAGCCTCATGGACAAATAAAGGCATTATTTGTCTATGGGGGCCCATTCACTGTTTAGCTTTTTCATATTGTGGTTTGCATGGAAACAGTAGCAGCTCTTGCATTTGAAACTGAAGATGTAAGTAGGGTGGGGTGGTGATGAATTGCTTTACTCTCTCCACTGTAAATATGAGACTAGTTGTACTTGCAAGTCTTTTGTTGGAACAAGTAATTGTCCCTTAGGCAGTTTTTTTTTTCAGTTAAATACGGGTATGTGCCATTTATAATTTCTTTTTAGATATAATCTGGAATAGTGTTCCATTCTTGCCTTGAAATTTTTACATTTTACATTTCTTGTTAAAACTTATTTTGAAGGACATTCAGTCATGTACAATTAAACTCTTATCGTCATGTAAACGCAAATTATTCTTTCACATAGCAATACATCAAGTTTAATTGATTAAATACTATGTTAACATTTAAGGAAGTTGGCAAAATGTTTTGCAGTTCTTTTGATCCAGAATATCCTACAGTTCAGCTGTGATAAAAACATATTGAAGCTCCATTACTTTGATATAGGCCTACAACTTTTTTTTACAATGAAAACTGATTCTTCTTATCACACTGATTTTAATGATCTGTGCCGTTTTGCTACATTTATTTAGCATGGAATGGATGATTTAAGGCAGCAAAGAAACTATCCAGGAGGGAGTTCAGGAGACAGAGGTACGGATGCTTGATCAGATCACTCAAGTTTTGTTCTAGCCCTGAGTTTGAGAATTTAATTGCTGTGAATCTGCCCCAAAATAGTCTGTGAAGATCTTTTAATTCCAAACACTCTGCCATCTAGTGGTTCTGTAATGTTACTTACAGCTTGATTATTACACTGATGACTAATGAAGTGGCACGGTTTTATTCAGTGCTATTTATACTGCTATATGTTTTTGACTGTCAAAGCAAGAACTGTTCACATTTATAAGACATGTATTCTGAAAACACAGGCATCACTGAAACAATCTCTACAACAAGAATTACAGCTTTACCTCCACGTAAGTTATCCCCTCCCATATATATTTTATGTGTTCTCGTTGTGTTTTGTTCACATTCAATGCCTTATTCCTTATTCCTCTACAGAATTTGTGCTTCAAGGGAAATTTCCTGTTTGTCATACTGTGAATGTAACTTGAGCATCTTTTTAATTTGAGGTAAAAGTGGACATTGCTGTATAGTTTATGGTGTTTTTTTACCCTCAGGAGGCTTCAATGCATCCGCCAACAAGGGCATGTCAAGCACCTCCGGGTCTCCTGGCCTGGAGAAGAACATTTTGACTCAAAACAACAGCAGTTCTTTTTTCTCATCCTGTAAGCCAATAAACCATTTGATATTTCAAATAAACTTGTATATTAACCAAAGACAGAATAGACTTATAAATGTTCTAAGAATTTGTAAATGTCTAAAACTGTCCCTGCTTCTGTGACTCAGCATCTGTGGGGGTGAGTGCAGGTGGGTTAGGCTCTGGATCAAGGGAATATCTGCTAGAGGAGTCATCTGTGAGTAAGAGTAAGAAGGCAGGTGATGCTTCTGATGGAGGATTTGAGAGTGTCTCTGGATCAGGATCAGGATCAGGATCAGGATCAGGATCAGGGCTGGGGGTGAGATCCAGCTCCACTGATGGCATGAGAAGAACACAAGACTCCACATTGTTTCTGGAAAGGAAAAACAAAACCACTCATTCACGTCGTTATGATGGTTAGTCACAGCTGAGAAACCTTAAATAAATAAACTACAACATTTTTGTTTGTCCTTCATATAGCATGTAATCATTTTTTTTAACTCCAGGAAGCTCAAGTGAAAACTCATCCCCAGAGATCACAAGAAAAGACTATGGTAAGACCCCCAGCCACATTAAAAGGATTAACAGGATGTGATTGAGACTAGAAATATCAGCTTTTGTTTCATTGCTCGGTTTCCAGGTTCAACTAGAGGAAGGAGTCAAAGCAGGGGTGAGATTATTTACACTAATACAAATATATTAATTACTTTGCATAGGTCATCCAGTCAAGTACTATTATCCTATAACATTTTTACTTTAAAAAGGCCAATAGTATAAAACCCCGCCCACCACAGACATAATTCACAGGGAGTATTTCTGATTGGCCACTCCCCAGTCAGGCAGTAGGGACAGTTCATTCATTGAATTACCAAACACATCTTTAATTTAGGCCTGATTCTTTCATTATCAATAATGTTTTACACAACCGATTCGGATTCGTCAATTGAAGCATTCAGCTGTCGAATATTTCTGAAAAATTACTATTCTCCACTTTGTTCATTCAAATCAATATCCCATGTCCATGTACAGCTGTGGCTAGAAGTATTGGCATTGACTTAAATTTCGTGTTTCATAAAGTCAGCTGTTTTAGTTGTTGAGGTGTTGATTCACATTGCTTCTAGATTATTGTGCAGAGCGATCAGATGCATTTTAAATATCAAAAAGCTTAATTGGCCAAAAAATAAACTTTATCACAAAAAAACTTTTTTTTTCCCTTCTTTTTTTTGGCCCTGGCACAAAACGGCCAGCTTACATCATTTTACTAATCATATCATCAGCACATGGGAAAGTGTGAACAAGTACTAGTCAGAAGACATCTCTCTTGGATTATAAAATGATTGGATGATTGGATTATAATTAGAGAGGGTAATAATTATAAAAGTTCCCTTCATTCCCTTGTAATACTTCAAAAACGAGCAATCAGAGTTATTCATAAGGTAGGATAGCTCGAACGCACAAATATATTGTTTTTACGAAGCAACATTCTCAAATTCATGGATTTAATTGATTTTTATACTGTACAATTAGTGTATAAAGCGAACCGGTTCGTACTACCAGCAAATATTCAAAAATTATTCAAAAAAAAGAGATAGTTGTTACAATTTGAGAGGTTATGGCCAACTTAAAGTACCAGCTTTCAGAACTACGAGGAAAAGTATGTGTGTGTCTATGTGTGGCGTCAGGCTCTGGAATAACCTGAGCGCCCAACTCAAGCAGTGCCCATTCATTTATCAGTTCAAATCTAAGTATAAACAAGTCATACTGTCTAAGTACAGGACGGAAGAATATCCTAAATGTGGAAAGGGTATTAATTGACGATTCTTCTTTTCTTTTCTTGGAATCATCAGAATGGTTGTGAGTTCATTTTTGTTGATTGTATGGGCATTGGAAAAGCCCAACATAAATATGTATCAATTGTTTTCTTGATTGTAGTAATGTAACTACTGCACAAATGTATAAAAGGGGGTAGGCGTTAATAAGCTTAAGCTTCTGCCTACTCCTTTTGAGCATCATATTCACGTTTTTATTTATTTTTTTCTTACATATTTATTGCGCATGTATCCTTCTTTAGTTTGGCCTACTATGCTGACCCTTGTTTAGATAGAACTTTGTGGATACTAGATGCTCAAATAAAAGCAAATAATAATAAAAAAAATTATAAGAGCAGACTGATTGCTATAAAATGAGAGAAGAAGTGCTTCCAATCATTGTGTTCTTGTGTTAACAATGGTTACCTCCAAAGAAAGACATGCAGCCATCATCGCTTTGCCTTAAAATAGCCTCACATACAAGGAAATTGCTGCAAACAATATTGCACCTGATATAACCAATTACCGGATCATCAAAACATCAAGGAGAGAGTTTCAACTCCAGAGTGTCCAGAGACATCCCAGAGTGTCCAGCAAGTGCCAGGACAGTCTCCTCCTGAGGAGTTGGCTACGGAATTGTCACCAACAGTGTAGAGCTTGCTCAATATTGGCAGCAGATGGGAATGAGTGCATCTGCACGCACAGTGACGCCAAGACTTTTGGACAACGGCCTGGTGTCAAGAAGGGCAGCAAAGAAGCCACTTCTCTCATAGTACAATCCAAATACATCAAGGATAGACTGAAATTCTGCAGGAAGAAGCTGATGACTGGTGCAAAGAAGACTGATACAAAGTTATTTTCTCTTATGAAGCTCCCTTCTGACTGTTTGGGACATCTGGAAAATCGATTGTCCGGAGAAGAAAAGGTGGACGCTACCATGTGTGCTGTGTTGTGCCAACAGTGAAGCATGCTGAGACCATCCATGTGTGCTTTTCATCCAAGGGCCAACTTAAAGTACCAACTTAAAGTTTTTGGGCTCTTTCACAATTCTGCCCAAAAACACTGCCGTGAATAAAGAATGGTATCAAAACGTCCTGCAAGAGCAATTTCTCCAATTCAACAATTTGGTGGTGATCTGTGCATTTTCCATTGAAATTTTGGATCCATGGCCAGGCAATCTTAATCCCATAAAGAACCTGTGGTCAATCCTCAAAAGGCGAGTGGACAAGCAGAAGCCCACAAATTGTGATCAACTCCAGGCACTAATAAGGCAAGAATGGATCGCCATCAGGATTTGGCCCAGAAGCTGATATCCAGCATTCTAGAGTGAACTGCAGAGGTTATGATGAAGAAGGGTCAACAACAGCATAAATTGAATGTTTTTTTTTCTCCAATAAAAGCCTTTAAAACTAATGAAATGTTTATCATTGTTGTCCAGTATGGAAACATTTGAAAAATTATCTACAAATACTGAAACAGCAAACTTTACAAAACACAAAATGTATGCCACTACCAATACTTTAAGCCATGACTGTGTATTTATTCATTTGAAAAGTAGCAGTCTAATAAGCTTTATAATGTAATTTTCAGGCGTCATTATCATAAAATAAACACTGAGGAACACCGGCACGATGTTCAATGTGTCTCAACACTTGGTTCGTGGGACATTACTGATCAGTTCCATATATTAAATATACAGTATGTGCTAAATGTATGCGTTAGTGTTAAAATAATGACAAGACAATCATGTTCAAAATTCAAACTGTTTTCTCCCTATCACTATTATTATCTCTCTTTCTGTGTCTGTTTTAGAGACGGAAATCAGGACCAGACTGCAAAGTGCATCTCCCTCCACTAGATGTATGTTGTCTATTTCTCTTTAATTCAATTATTTCAGGTAATTAAATAAATAAAAAGAGATGTAACACTCAACGATAATTAAATTGCATTAAAAAACTAAAAGTGAAATGAAACAAATATGTATTACATTTTTAACTTTAGTTACAAGTTTACAAATTAATTTAACATGTTTTTACCAGATGCTCAAGGAAAAAGCTCAGAAAATATTTCGTTTTGTTCAACAGCTGAGAGAGTGAAAGTAAAAGGCATGTTTAGTCATGAAGTTGTGACTAATACAGTGCTGTTGCTATAGGGACTGAGCTGGATGATGTGAAGAAGCTGTTGAAGGGATCGCGCTCCGCCAGCGTCAGCCCCACACGCTCTTCCTCCTCCTCCCCTCTTCCGATACCTCGCAAGGCCACCACCTTAGACAACAAGATCTCCACCAAGCAAGGTAAGGAAAGCTCAGGCTGATGACAGATAGTAAAGCTTGATTAAACTGCAAGATATCATTGTAGTATTTAACACACCTATGGTGTGCAGAGCCCATTTATTTTCAAAATCCAAATTCCCCAGTTCATCTGTGCATAGAGATCTTGTGCTCATTGCCAAAGCGTTAAGACCTCCTTTCAATTTTCTCAGTCGAGCAATATGACAGCACTATTCTTGACGCTGACCTTGCCTCGTACACATGGAACTCCTCCACACTGCCCTCTACAGTGTCCACTGGACCTGGTGCTGCTTACGGCTTCCACCGCAACACCAACAACATGTCAACGGGAGCTTCGCTTGTCAGCAGCACATCACCATCCTCCTTATCAGGTCTGCATTGTGTTCACCTGACAATATAGAGAATTGAGCAAGTCATTCATCTAGTAATTGATTGAGGCAAACTTTGAACATAAATATGTAAATCCCTCAATATCACACCTTGGAAATGATTATTTTCTGGGGTGATTATAAATAAAACTGTGAACACATCAAAACATTCAATTGAAAACACAGTCCTCTAACAGACATACAATGGTATTTTATATATACATTTTATGTACAAATACCAATTTTTTTTTTTTGTCTTGACTTACAGTGTATGGCTTCCACAACAATTTAGCTCCTGCTAGTGGAGTTCTAACTTCGAGTGGAGTTAACACAGTCTCAGGTATCGTCTGAGGCATATAATATTAAATAATTGTAATGACATTAGAAGACAATAACATTCCTTGTAAGCATGTTTATTTGTTTGTGTGTATTTTTAGGATATGGAGTGCAGAAGAATTATTCAACAAGTCCCAACAGCACTTTTGCTGTTAGCACAGGGGTCTCCACTGCAGGTGTTTGTTATATTTATATTCTGTACAACAGGGCTCAACAATAAGAATGGCCCAGGGTCAATGTGAGACAGTTCTGGGATAGATGACTGAATCGTCAATTGCTCTGTCGGGCCAATGCTGGATTGATTGTCTCCGTATTTTACATTCAATAATCCTGTGTTTTTCCACAGTTTTTTATAAACAAAAGTGTTTATTAATTTTAGTTGGATAATTTAAAGATATTTTCCACAAAGCCGAAACCTCACATATGATTTGTTTTGAAGAAATCCTAACATTTTATGAAATTTATAAATATAATTTATATAAACATACACTACCATTCATATGTTGGGGTCAGTTATAGGGGTCTTACTTGTCTTTTGTTCACCAAGGCTGCATTTGTTTGTTAAAAATACAGTAAAACAGTAATATTTTGAAATACTATCACAATTTAAATTAACTGTTTTATGTTAAATGCAGAGGTGGACAAGTACACAGCTTCCTACTCGAGTGAAAGTACAGATACTACTGGTCAAATATTACTCTGTTACAAGTAAAAGTTGTAAAGACCGCATTGTTGTATGTAATACAGTACCTTATGCCTCTCTGAATCTGTGCCTGCCTACCTACCCTCATATCAATATCAAATTTATTTCTAGAACACAGTTCCAGTAGTGGGATTGAATGTGAGATTGAATAAGTGCACTCAATAACGTCCACAATGGTTTCGGACACCCAAATGGCTGTTCCCTCAAATCGTGCCCTATTTAAAGTTATGATATGAATACACTCACCGGCCACTTTATTAGGTACACCTGTCCAACTGCTCGTTAACACTTAATTTCTAAGCAGCCAATCACATGGCGGCAACTCAGTGCATTTAGGCATGTAGACATGGTCAAGACAATCTCCTGCAGTTCAAACCGAGCATCAGTATGGGGAAGAAAGGTGATTTGAGTGACTTTGAACGTGGCATGATTGTTGGTGCCAGAAGGGCTGGTCTGAGTATTTCAGAAACTGCTAATCTACTGGGATTTTCACGCACAACCATCTCTAGGGTTTACAGAGAATGGTCCGAAAAAGAAAAAACATCCAGTGAGCGGCAGTTCTGTGGGCGGAAATGCCTTGTTGATGCCAGAGGTCAGAGGAGAATGGCCAGACTGGTTCGAGCTGATAGAAGGGCAACAGTGACTGAAATAACCACTCGTTACAACCGAGGTATGCAGCAAAGCATTTGTGAAGCCACAACACGCACAACCTTGAGGCGGATGGGCTACAACAGCAGAAGACTCCACCGGGTACCACTCATCTCCACTACAAATAGGAAAAAGAGGCTACAATTTGCAAGAGCTCACCAAAATTGAACAGTTGAAGACTGGAAAAATGTTGCCTGGTCTGATGAGTCTCGATTTCTGTTGAGACATTCAGATGTTAGAGTCAGAATTTGGCGTAAACAGAATGAGAACATGGAACCATCATGCCTTGTTACCACTGTGCAGGCTGGTGGTGGTGGTGTAATGGTGTGGGGGATGTTTTCCTGGCACACTTTAAGCCCCTTAGTGCCAATTGGGCATCGTTTAAATGCCACGGCCTACCTGAGCATTGTTTCTGACCATGTCCATCCCTTTATGGCCACCATGTACCCATCCTCTGATGGCTACTTCCACCATGTCACAAAGCTCTAATCATTTCAAATTGGTTTCTTGAACATGACAATGAGTTCACTGTACTAAAATGGCCTCCACAGTCACCAGATCTCAACCCAATAGAGCATCTTTGGGATGTGGTGGAACGGGAGATTCGCATCATGGATGTGCAGCCGACAAATCTGCGGCAACTGTGTGATGCCATCATGTCAATATGGACCAAACTCCCTGAGGAATGCTTCCAGCACCTTGTTGAATCTATGCCACGAAGAATTGAGGCAGTTCTGAAGGCAAAAGGGGGTCCAACCCGTTACTAGCATGGGGTACCTAATAAAGTGGCCGATGAGTGTATGTTAGCCTTAGGCTAGGCTACTGTTAGTGTGCTTCAAAACAATGACAAAATTTGCATTTAGAAGACCAACCAAACGTTGAAAATGAAAATCAGGTAGATGTCAGAATCCAACACTAGATTGACGACATACGTTCTGACGTCAAACCGACTTTCATTTCAAACCAAAATCCAACGTATGTCCGACGTCGGGTTCTGGCGTCTGTCCGATGTTGGATGTTGACGTCAACCCGACTTTAATTTCCAACCAAAATGCAACCCCTGTGACCAAAATCATCCCCTGACTGACGATACTACTTTCTACTCAAGGACCTTGACATAATTGTAGTGGAGTAAAAAGTACGATATTTGTCTTTCAAATGTAGTGAAGTTAAAGTAAAAAGTTTCCAGAAAAAATAATACTCAAGTAAAGTACAGATACTCAAAAAGCCTACTAAATGTAGGTAAATGTACTTTGTTACTGTCCACCTCTGGTTAAATGTAATTCATTCCTGTGATGGCGAAGCTGAATTTTCAGCGGCCATTACTCCAATCTTCAGAGTCACATGATTCTTCAGAAGTCATTCTAAAACAATTCAGAATGAATAGAAAGTTCAAAAGAAACTTTAAAATATGTAAAAGTTTTTACCGTCACTTTTGATCAATTTAATTTAATAAAATGTTTTAATTTAGACACGTAAAAATCATTGCTTGTAATCATTGTTTAAACAGGGACACTGTGTCCTTTTAAAAGAGGTGGCAAAGAGATACTTGACATTTGAACATGATTATTTATTTGTTTATGTGTGTATTTCTAGGATATGGTGTGCAGAAGAATTATTCCTCAAGTCCCAACAGCACTCTTGCTGTTAGCACAGGCGTCTCCACAGCAGGTGGTTGTGTTATAGTCACTCAGTAAAGGATTTATAGTTACTGTAGTTCTCAAAAGACGTAGCGATTGTCACATAATAAACAAGAAGACTTGGTGTCACATTTAGGAACTGGTACAAGGACCCTTAATGAGAATGTGTCAAAGAGATACCTGACGCTGGAGAAGGAGAACATTCCAGTGAAGAGAGACACTGAGGAACTTATCCTGACCAAAGACAGTGGCAAGCACTTTACCAACAGCGCCCCCAATGGGACAGCAGGTAAACACAGGACTGAATGTTGTATTCGATGTTTTAGAGATTGATAGTTCACCCAAAAAAGGAAAATTTCTCCTGTTGAACACAAAATAACATATTTTAAAGAATGATGGGAACCAGACAGTTGACGGCACCCATTGACTTCCATAGTATTTTTCTTCCTACTATGGAAGTCAATGGCTACTGTTAACTGTCTGTTTACCGACATTCTTTAAAATATTTCATTTTGTGTTCAACAGTAGAAAGAAACTTATACATGTTTGGAACAACATGAGGGTGAGTAAATGATGACAAAATTTAAATTTTTGGGTGAACTATCCCTTTAAAGTTATTTAAAATACAAAATGATTGATGTTTTGAAACTCTATATTGATTAACTTGATTGATTTTAAAGGGTCATATTCAGATGTTTCAGTGAAGAAGGAAACTATGATGACCAGCTATTCTGAAAGTGTTCCTGTGAAGTCTAGCTCTGGCGTGCATTGTAAGGGACTTAATTTTCATGTATCATTATATTGTTTAATATAAAATTAATGTGGTTTTCAAAATTTTTACCCCCCTTCAAGATGGGTCTTCAGTGTCAACAAAAGATAAAGCTACTTATGCAGGTAAAACTTTTTATTTGAGAAACTATTGCACACAATACAGTATATGAGTCACTGTATAAAACTGGGACTCACCTGTCTCTTGATATTTGCGTTCTGTCAGAGATACATAAGGCTAAGCTTGAGGATGAGGATGACTGTAAGTGTGGAGGGGGTCTCTGTGGATGTGGGCCAAACTGCTGTTCCTGGTGGAAGTGGCTGCTGGGTTTTTTGCTCAGCCTCCTGCTTCTCCTCGGCCTTCTGTTTGGACTCATTGCTCTATGTAAGATTTGAATGTCTAGACTAGAAACATACGTGCGGTTGCATATAGTCTTCTAATCTGTTGCTAATCTCTTTTCCTTGAAGCTGAGGAGGTAAAGAAACTAAAGTCTCGTGTCAGCGCTCTTGAGGGAATATCTTCCTCCATGAATGCCCGCACAAGTCGTCTGTCTGCTCCTATTGATGACATTGACATATATAAAGATGCTGGAAGTAAAGCAGCATATGTTAATTCACTGGATTCTGCAGTTTATTCAGACAATTCTGCACTGCAGAGAAATGTACAGCAAATACTGAGAGCAGAGCTGCAGTCTGAAGCAATGAAAGGTACAAGTGAAAACAGTTCTGCTCAAACACACATTAAAAAAAACATACATACATTTTATAGAATGCATAAATATATGCATATATTTTATTATTAAATGTATTTATATGCAAACACAATACTTATACATTTTTTGTGTGTGTGTATCTAGCCTTCCTTGCTTCTTCAGTTAAAGCTGAAAGAGGACTTCCAGGGCCAAAAGGTACATCAGATATTCTGTTTTTACTGAGCACACATTACAGCAAACATAATGTATAACTTCTATTGAGATTTAATAGAAAGCAACCTGATTTCCACTACATCTTTCAATCACACCTTTACTCTTTTCACCACTTTCAGGTGACAGTGGATCTCCAGGGACGAAGGGTTTGTACAGTTTTAAAATCAATTATGCTATCTGTAAATTCAATTAACTTTTTATCTGTTTATATTGATATACGTACAGTTGTAAACATGATTTTTTTCTAACCTGTTTTTCAGGAGACAATGGTTTTCCAGGGCTGCCAGGTAAGAACAATTCTTCTTGTAGAACTAAAGTCTTAACAGTTGTGCAGCAATATATATATATATATATTTGTATCTGTAGGTCCACCAGGAATTCCAGGAAATCCAGGAAGGGAAGGACAAAAAGGGGGAAAAGGAAGTGCAGGTACATGAAACGTTACACAATGCTTTTTTCTGGAAAAACGATCACAATCATCCATTCTGTTTAAATCTACAATTACCTAAAAAGTTAAGGCTTAGAGGTTCAGATTTAGATGCAGTCCATAAATGCTGAAGCTAACATGTGATATTGCTGTAGCACTAACAAATAGCTTTAAATAAAGTCAGTTAGTCCCACACTCCTGTACTTCCTCCATTCATCCACCCCAGATTACAGCCTAGTCCTTTGCTACATTTAGGAAACATATAAGACACATTTATACTGTGAACACTTGACTCAATTCTGTTAATGCTCTTACTCCTTCTGAAAAAAAGAATGAACCTTTTCTGATGTTGCTTCATGGAAACTTGTATGCTAAAGTTGTAAACTAAAATGTATGTGACAGGTGAACATGGTGCAGACGGACCTCCAGGATTCAGGGGAAGAGATGGTCAACCTGGACCCCGTGGAGACCCAGGACCTCCTGGAGCAGGAGAGAAGGGTGAAAGGGGTAAGATACTGCATGTTTTGACAATTTGGCCCTTGAAACACGATCTTAGCATTTAATTCTTAGTATTTAATTAACACAATTTAAGTTCTCATACACAACATAAATTTGAGATTTAAGCTTCTGTTTTGATCATATTTACAATGTGTTTGTGTATCTGTTCGTTCTCTAGGTATTCCTGGCTCTCCTGGTCAAGTTGGTGCACCTGGGCCTAAAGGTCAATACAAAACACAATTTATATTATTATTTTTATTGTTGTTGTTTTCATTTGGGTTATAAAAGCTGATACAGTTGTGCAACTGCATTGGCATGAAAATATATGCTAATGTATACATGTTTAGCCTACCTAATCATTAAGCAGTAATGAAATATAAGTTGTGTTTTCTTTTTGTCTGTTAACAAAACTGTTTAACTCTTTCTTTGAACTATTTTAGTGGCATAGTGTATTTGTTTTCATCATATAATGACATTACATGTGAAAAACACTTTTTGTGCAGGTGAACAAGGCCCTCAAGGCTTCAGAGGTGAACCTGGCACCGTCGGACCTAAAGGTGTGTGGCCCGATGTAAACTTGGTGCATTTTTAGCAATGGGCCTACATAAAATCATAATGTTTATAGATTTTTTTTTTTACAAATTCTTTACAGGTGATAGAGGACTTCCTGGTCCACCTGGAATTAAAGGTTTGTAACCAATTATAAGTCAGCCCTAACATTACCAATGTATTAATGAAGTCAAAGTGAATTCAAGTAAAATGATGTGTGTGTTGTATCAGGTGATCATGGTGATATAGGAGACAATGGATTGCCAGGTATGTATGTTTAGACTGAGCCGTATCAAAGAACTTGATTCATTTGAGCCATGTTCACAAATATTTGATTCAGTGTTAAATCACTGTACCCTTCATCAGGTATTCCTGGTGCTGCAGGACGACAGGGACCAGCTGGTGAGAAAGGAGCTAAAGGAGCACCAGGTAATTCTTTTTTTGCCATTTTATTATTAGAACACCCAAAGAACAGCCATAGGAAGTGATAGGAAGAAAAGTGTGGATTGGGATTATAAGAGTCAAAGGTTTTTAATGGATTGCCTTTATATACTGTATATAAGTACTACCACGCGTAGAGTCTGACATGCAACATATGACAGAGCTGGATTTCTAATCGTCAAATCTCTAAAAACATTATTGCATTTTCATTATGTGGGTGCAAGTGAGAGTGCAAGCTTTAGAAATTACACTACCGTTCAAAAGTTTGGGGTTTGTGATACTTTATTTTACATAAGATACCAAAATAGTACCAACCCCAAACATTTATTTATACGGTAGTGTAAATAAAGTCTGTCTCAAATAGTTAGAAAAGGAAATCCATGAAAAATGTCCAAAAATTGTTTGTGATAATTATTTGTTATCTAAAGCGATTTCCCCCAAAATAATATCACTATACATAATATCACTATGTTGTATATTTACACTCAGTTGTATGGCACAGATTAAAGCTCCATTATTACCTGGACCTCTTTAATGCAAATCTTGTATTGGTGTAAAATAAGTCCCCAGATAGTAATTCTGTCATTTCATACTAGGGCCTCAAGGAGCTGATGGTGAAAAGGGCCAAAGAGGTGAGTGGCATTTTCAGAATTTGATGATTTCAAACTAAAGAATGCTTTTCAATCTGCAAATTTATTTTAATCTGTATTGTGTATCATTTTGTTAATATCTAGGTGAGTCAGGCTCAATTGGCTTGCCAGGAATCAGAGGACCACCTGGGCCACTCGCTGATTCTGGACAACCAGGTATAAAAGCATGTAGAAAAACATGATCCTCATTCTTAGAAAATTATCTGAAGCTGCATGCTTATAGCACAGTTCCCATCATTCACCATGTGATAATGATAATATAAACTCAAATTACTCAAATTTGATTGTGCATTGAGTTTGATTCTCTATATTTTTCTACTGTTCTCTTTGAATCAGGAACTCCAGGGATTCAAGGACCTCCAGGTAACCTGCCACTTAAACTTCATTATATTCTCTACCCAAGTTATACGTTTTATTTTTGTGCAATTAAGATTGTTATAATATTTCTCAACTATGTATGACGCTATAATGGTGATCATTGTTTGTTTTCTTTTGTCATCATAGGCCTACCTGGCAATCCTGGTCAGCCTGGAGCTAAAGGTGCTTGTGTGAGAACATCAGTATTAGTGAAATAGACTATAGGATCAATGTTTAGCTGCTTTTTGAAGTCTTCTATTTTTAGATGTATATTTTGTTTTATTATTGGACATTAGAATTATATAGGTACAACTATGCATATCAATGTCCTGATAAATAATCTTAAAACGTTCACAGGTGAGACTGGTGCGGCTGGAAGAGTGATCAATGCAGGTAAGATTAATTGAAGCTATAAAACACATTTAACAGGTCACTGTGCTCTGTGTGCAGTGTTGTGAACATGAGTTGTGAGTAAATCTGAAGTGAAAAACTGCTTGATTTTGCAGCAGGTTCTAGCTCAGTGGCAATCCCAGGACCGCCTGGAAGCCCCGGTCCTCCTGGCCCAACTGGCTACCCAGGACTCTCAGGTATGCTCATAATCAAAAACTGTTAAAAACAACCAAACAAAACCCAGATTAAAAATTCAACCAAATCAAAATACCTTCCTCCTGTTTACCAGTAAACTCACTGTGCCAGGAACGTTTGTTGATTAAACACATTTTAGATATTATTAGTAATGACAACTTGCCTGCCATTTTACATACATAAATTTGTGTATATTTAAAAAGAAATACACCGAATTTCATACTTGAATTATTCACATTGTTTAGATACAACTATATATTTATAATGTGACTTTATGATACGTCTGTTTTGTAATGCTAGGTCCCGTTGGCCCTGCTGGACATCCTGGTCAGCCTGGTAAAATTGCATTTTGTATCTGGCGTTGCTATTTAATATTCTATATGAGTAAAATATAAATTATTATCAAATGACTTTCCTTGCATCCATGCATCCACCTCGATTTTTGTGCAGGTCTTAAAGGTGATAAGGGAGATCAAGGAGAACCGGGTATTGCTGTGAACACTGGGGAGACTTTGGTTTCAACGCGTGCAGAAAGTAAGTCTTTATTTTAACAATCTAATTGAAACATTAGTAGCTTATAGAAATGCATTAACATAATGCTTGCATATCTGTCATTTTTAGGACAGTATGGGGCTGCAAATGTTGCTGTTACTGGACCACCAGGTCCTCCTGGTCCCCCAGGGCCTCCTGGACGTCCAGGTAAAGTAACATTATCCATGAAACGAGTTTTTTTGTTTTTGCCACATTAATTCATGTTCATGAAGTGAAGTTCAAGTTCATAAAATGTTTAAGTTATGGATATGACAACCAGTGTTTAAAAAACCATTTTAGATGCTCATTTTTAATCTCCAATAGGAGATACCAGAGCAGGTCCACCGGGACCACCAGGTTTACCAGGCTCAGCAGGTAAGATGACATGAAGCAGTACTTACACAAAATATGACATCTTTAATTGTTTGGCCAATTGTACATCTCACTCTACTACTAACTCATACTCTATAATGGCATACTTTTCTCAACTCTTCTGTTACTGTGTAATAGGATATGGCACCCCCGGTCCTAAAGGAGACAAGGGAGATCCAGGAAACTTTGTGCCTAATTCAGGTTGGATTACAGCATATGCCTGGTATTATACATTATTGTAATGGTGTTGTGGTTTTTGAAGTCTCACAGCTTTACAAATGCTGCCTACACAGGAACGTTTTTTGCGGGACCACCTGGGCCGCCAGGACCCACAGGGCCTAAAGGAGCGACAGGTGAGTCTTACCTACAACTGGAGTTTTGTTGATTCTTAGTACTTTTCTTCCAACCTATCGTCAGTGAAAACACCATGAATGTGAAATGTGATGTCAGAGAGTAGTTTAACTATTATCAGATATCTAATGATATATATGTAAACTTCAGGTGCCCAAGGTCCACGAGGATATCAAGGTAAGGGTTTCTTCTCCAACTAATTCTGAATATGGGTCACAAGAATTAATATGAACCGTAAAACACATAAAATACTCAGATGTATCACCACATGCCTTATAATAGTACTTTGTTTGCCATATGTGATATTATTTTTTAGGGGAATCAGGTCAGCCTGGCCTTCCAGGGAGTCCTGGTAGAGTTAGTAAGTTATTTTGTTTCTGTTGACAGATTCATTAACATTAACACCCAAAGCAACATATTTAGTCAATAATGAGTCATTTATAATTATATTTTGTGTGCCTGTGTTTAGTTGGTTTATGGCACTTAGCCTCTGCAATACTTAATTTGCTGTTAATTGAAATATTGTAAATAGATTATAAAACATCTGACACAAGGAGGAACAGTTTTTAAGTGTTCATAAAAGCTATAATAAATATTGAAATAATCTTTATTTTACTCTTTAGTCTCTGAGTACGGTGTCGCTCAAGGGCCACCTGGTCTTCCAGGGCCTCCTGGACCGCCTGGACGAGAGGGCCGTAAAGGTAAATAACTTGAATAATGATGAGACATTGTATTCAGGTGTATTAATATCTACAGTACAATAATTTTTTTAATTATTTCTCAGGGGATCCTGGAGTACCAGGTTTATCAACATCACAAGGAGAGTCAAGAGGTAAATCTTAGTATGATGTACTGGATATGTATTGAAGGAATAGTTCACCCCAAAATTGAAATGTTGTCATCAATTACTCACCCTCATGTCATTCCAAACCCATAAGCGTTTATTCATCTTCAAAACACAAATTAGGATTTTATTTTTATTTTTGGGTGAACTAACCCTTTAAGCTATTGTCTTGTCTAACCAGTCTTTACCTCTTTAGTGAAAAAATTGTAACCGAGCATTTTGTTTGCTGTCACCAAAAATAATTAATATAAACTTTAAAAAGTTGAATACCTCAGTGTGGGATTCCTCATTTTGGAAAAATATAATGGACCCTCTAGAGCTTTTTGGGAATAACACTGACCTCCAGTTGCACCATTATTAGATTAGTAGATGAGTTTTGCAAAGCAAAACAATGCCATAACTCTCTATATCACTTCTCATTGTCATTAGTCTCGGTATCAGGAGCAGTTGCAGTCGGGCCCCAGGGGCGGCCTGGTCCTCCAGGACCTCCTGGTCCACCCGGTGCTACAGGTCATTCCGGTGGATCCCATTTTGCCTCGGACTATCGGCGTTACATCACGGAGTATATGCAAAGTGAGAACCTGTTTATTTGGATGATCGCATTCCTTCTCCTGAAGGTCATTTCCTCATGAATGTGTCATGTTCTTTCCACAGGTGACAGCATGAGGCAGCATTTGTCTAGTATTCAGGGATCACCAGGTCCACCAGGTCCACCAGGTACACCAGGTGCACCTGGAGCTTCAATGTCTGTAGAGGACATTGCATCTCGGGTCATCGCTTACATTCAGCGTAAGTTAAGATGTAATCTGTGCCGTTTAAAATGTATTTCTGTTGCATTTGTAGTAAAATATATACTTTTGTTTCAGGCTCTGGATTCAGTGGTAGCAGTATTAGCCAAGGTGCTCAAGGTCCTCCAGGACTTCCTGGCCCTCCTGGCCCACCTGGAAGTATAACTGCTGACTACATCATTTCCCTTTTACAGAGTGAGTAAATCATATCAGATCCACTTATGTATAAACAGCCTTTTGAGTCTTGAATCTGAGAACTGACCCAGTGACTTTCTTGTGCTCAGGAGAAGATGTGAGGCGTTATGTGGTTGGCCCTCCAGGACCATCGGGTTCACCAGGGATTAGTGCTAGTACCTTTAATGCACAGGAAGTGGCAAACTATGCTATCAGAATAATGAATGGTGTGTCTTCAACCCGAATTCTATGTTAAAGCTGCAATAGATTGAATTTTGTCCCAGACAGCAACATGGGCCCAGATCCAGCCCACATCTGGTACAGGTGGAATCGATGTACCAGAAGTGGGCCAGATCTGGGCCGACACTATTTTGTTGTCTGGGGTAAGTCCAATGTCATTTGTGAATTTGGTTTTAGAGCAGGGGATGACAAGCAGACCTGGACCACCAGGCCCTCCTGGCCCACCTGGCCAAGCAGGTGCTACCTACAGCGACATAACAGCTCTTATTCAGAGTATGTGATTCTTTTTAAAATGCCCTTTTTAATTTTTCAAAATAATTTTTCATTATGTGTTTTATAACAGTGCATGCACATGCGAAGGGTTTCCTCTCCTTATATTCCCCTTGAATGTGTTTGAAGGGTCAGGGCTTGGGGCAGGCGTTGGACGTCCAGGGCCCCCTGGTCCGCAAGGAATACAGGGACCCCCTGGTCCGCCTGGTGCCACAGGAGGCGACTCCTCTGCACTCTCGGGTTACAAACTGGAGGACATCCAGCTCTACCTTCAGAGTGAGTTTTTGACCGTTTACACATGTGTTTAATGCTGTCCACTTGTAAGTGGATAGACAAAAACGCATTTTAATACCAGGTGTAAGTAGGGCCTTATATATACCTGCAATGTTTCAAAAAATCTTTGTGATTCTGTGGTATTTAGAGTCCGGTTTTAGGGGACCTCCTGGTCCACCAGGACCCCAGGGTCCTCCAGGTGACACTAGGGGCCTTGTATCATATACAGGATCTTCTGCGCGAGAACAGATCCGTGCTGAGCTGCAGGATTACTTGAACAGTGAGTGTCACTCACCACATGCTCTAATCCAGAAACTGACACCTCAGTGTAACTTTACATTGGACACATTCACTTGGGGGATGTCTGACTGATTTAACAAGTGATCTCACTCCATTCTAGATTCTGAAAGCATGATTTGTTGAACTCCTAGATTTGTGTCACCAGTTTCTGCAAACACTTTTACCACATCAATAAATCTTTTTTTTTTCAGGTGACAGTATGAGGCGCTATGTTCACAGTCCCCCTGGGCCTCCTGGACCCCCTGGCCAGAAGGGTGAACGTGGTGACCCCGGGCACAGTTATCAGAATGCCAGAAGCCAACACCGCTTTGGCACTGAGATCAGTGAACCAGTGGACTACTCCAATGTTGCAATAAAAGTAACTGATTACATTAAAAGTGAGTACAGTATCATTCAAGTCCATGCACCAGTTATATTCATAATGAAGCTGTAAAAGTAAAATTTAGTCCAAAATAAGTGACTGTCTTTCAAGTAAGCCATTGAATCATTCATTTAGGTGATTTGTTCTATTCGTACTTCTTCTGAATATTTACTTCACAACTATTTAAAAAGTATGTTCTATTTAGTATGAATGTTATTCAAACCTTCTATATTTGTCATGTTGTCATTGTCATGTGACCTACCAGTGTCAGTTGTGCCACTTCACTGCCATTTACAAATCCCCTCCCGTGGCCTTATGGGATAGTGAATTGTCCATTGGATGCGCACTTCAGAATATCGACCGATGCAAAGCTGTAACCGTGGGCCTCATTTATAAAAGTACTACGCACAGATTTGATCTTAGAGTGTTAAAATCCACAGCAACATTCATATTTATAAAAACAGTCTTTGACGTGGAAAAGTGCTTAACGCCATGTCAGGGTCTACACACTTTTCCTTGGGGCAGAGAGTCGGAGTACTGCAGGTATTTGGAAATCTAAGCAATTCTTGCCGCTCGCCCTTCACAAGTAAAGGATTTAGATGCTGACTGGTGCACTTTTATATGTTAATGACGTTAATTAGGGGAAGTTTGAATTTGATTGAAACCCTTCACCTGCGCACAATTTCAAGATTATTTGCAATTTATAAATTTCACATTTGGAAGAGAGACGTACACATTTTTTTTGTGTGTGTGTAGGCTTCGTTTTCCGAATCACACATACGGACATTTGAGAAATGATCGTAAGATCAAATGTAGGATGGTTTCTACGCAACATTTTATAAATGAAGCCCATGTCTTGAACATTGGGGAGGACCAAACCAGTGTTTAGGAGGAGGGTAATGATAATGGGCGTAATTGTCTTTTATTTAAGGAAATTAAACAAGTAAATAATTTAAAGGCAAAAATAGAGAAATACATTTATTTTAAAGTAATCCATTTAAACTATGCAAATATTATTATTTTAAAAATATGCACACATTTGACTTGTAATTGTTTGCCTAATATGCCTAAAATAGCTGTTAATGTTTTTGTTGCCCCGTCACATTCAATTATGAATTACAAGAAGCGTTGTGCTGGAATTCATGCTCATCCTCTGTGAACATTAAAGCATGCCTTCTTTGACCGCTGAGGCGGACCTTAAAAATGTAACTTTCAAAACTTTTTTTTTTTCATCCTAACAACAGAGTGTATGTGTAATGTAGTGCAGGAAAGCAAATATTTGGGGGTCCCCCTCAATGTCTATGGTGGTTATGGCCCTGACTGGAAGTAGTAGGTCATCTGGGTACATTTTTCCTACTGTTTTACGAGTACTGTGAATTCGGGCATACTAGCAATTTCATACTGTTGTTTAGTCAACTATATTTAGTAGGGAAGAATGCATTTTGGATGCAGCCACTGTCATTCACTTGGTTGATTCATTCAAAAACTCCACTACTGTGTTGGCTTAGTTTGGTACTACGAGTATCTGGCGATGGTGTAAAAAAAAAAAAAGGCAAAATAGTTATAACAAAGCACTGTAATAAAAAGCAAATACATCCATTTTTCCAAACCGCTTGCCTAAGTAGTTGCAGGGATGCTGGAGTTAATCCCAGCTTTTTGGGCCCTAGTCAGGGACACACCGTGAACTGATGGCCAGTCCATCACAGGGATAAGAAGCAAACTCGTGTCACTCTTTTCCGTTAGATCAAGGTCTACTACAGGACCTGACAGAGGGATACTGGAGAACACAAGCAGGAAGGATCCAAGGACCCGCTGGGCCTCCAGGTCCTCCTGGCCCACCCGGGTACAGCCGTGTGATTGGTGCCTATGGGAACGTGACTGCAGACCTCATGGACTTCTTTAGAAGTCAGTGTCTACTTTTACATAATTTGTCACATATGCTGATTATATATTTAATTACCATATTTGGCTTGTATTATTATTTATTTTTAGCACATGGGAGCATCCCAGGGCCTCCTGGCAGGCCAGGACACAAAGGGGACAGAGGATACCCAGGATCTAAAGGAGACACAGGTACCAGTCATCATTGATTTAGCTATTCTGGACAAAATCAAACAGGAAATCAGCTAAAGTGCTGCCCGATTAAACATGAAAGTGAAGAGCTGTGAATATTAAGGTGTATGGTTTGTATGTGATCTACAGGGGAAAGGGGGAGCTCAGGGATACCAGGCCTCCCGGGACAAAGAGGACTGGAGGGACCAAGGGGAGAAAAGGGTGAAAAAGGTTAGAATAGTATACTCATCATATATCCTAGCATGATGTTACAATGTATTCATTCAATATATTCAAAGTTATTGTTACATCAACCAGCATCTAAAAATCATCAATGATGACGTATTTGAAGGCAGCTCTGACATGCATCTCTCTCTATATTGAACTTTAGGTGATATCCAGACTGGTAGATGGGTACGGACCACTGGTGTGTAAGGGCTTTTGCAACAGCACACTTTCGTGGATGCACTGACAGCGAAAAGAAATCTTTAAGATAAATCCATAAACTAGCCTCTCCTTATGAAGTAACACAGTTTAGAGGCTTGTTTGGTTCCTATTTTATCACACTATACAGTTTTATTTCAAACCAATGCATGCAATATTATAATTCATACATTCAAAACAATTTTCAGCTGTACTAGCATGGGTTTAAGACATCAGTCTGATAAATGATCATTGTTATGCATTTAGCACTTGAAATGTACTTTTTATCCAATAGTGGACTTTGTAATTGCCTTTATGATTTTAATTTTAAATTTTTTTTGTATTATATACATTTGTCTAAGGTCAATTCTTGCAATGCAAACACACAAAAATCAAATCAGAATGTAACGGATGATACGCCAAACAAAAAAGTATCTTAAGCAGCTGAGATAGACCATGTGATGGAACATGACTCACTTTACAAGGGCCACTGAATCTTTAACAAAGAGTATGATTTTACGCCTACCCGATATGAACCCAAACTGCACCATGTTTAGAAAAAAAACACCAATAAATCAAAGAAAATACAATGAGTTTTATTTACAGTATATCAATGGACAAGCGTTTTGATACATAAATTGACCTCAAAAATGCATCAGATATTCCATCAAAGTGCTGCAAGAGGTTAAGGTCACTGTTCAGCAGTATGACACCAGGATATCTCTGGACAAATATCCTGTTTGTGCAATTGCCAACTTTTAAAACCTGTTCAAAGAGATCATGTCTCTGGTAAAGTACAGCATTTGGGATTTCTCTCAGCATGCAAAAAGTATATGAGCACAGCATGTCATAATATGGCTAAGATACAGATGTGTGATTTCTTACACAAAACATGTTATCAAAAATAAAGCTTGAATCAGATGAAAAGTCCTCAGCAACAGTGAGAAATGTTCATGTCTTCACACTGAAACTTTTGCAGACTGTAATGGGCAAATCAAAAATCCGCTCTACATTTGACTATCAAAAGTATGTGTCCTTCAATAAAAAGAAAACCTCAAATTAAAATAAACAATGTAACGTGCAGGTTCACATTCCCCTTAAATTTTGATGAAACAGGAAAAAGAACTAACAATAAAAACTTTCAACTTCAGTTGAAATCCATAAATAACTTTTTACCACCATATATGAAACATTCAAGGTGGCAAAGACTGCCTTACTCTCCTTCAAATACGTGAAATTAATTTGCTCATAAAAAAATAAACTCGGCTACTCTGGACCACAAAGTGACATGCCAAATGAGAAATGACATCATCGTATACAAATATTTGGGCACAATTTCCTCCACAAAATCACTACTGCATATGTTCAATTTGTTTTAAAGTGTGCAATGTCAACTTATGGGTTACATTCCGTGACTGCAAATATCTTTAACCATAAAGCAAAGAGTAAAAGTTAAAAAGAGTAGTATGTTTTAAAAGCAACTTTGCATGGAGATTAAAAACCGAATAAGCAAAACTCAGAGGAGGATACAAAAATACAACATATAACAGCTGATACAAGACCATAACAGAACTGAAGCTTGTGTACCAGTGACTCGAGTGTCCACGTGTTTAAATGTGATCTCTCACCACTTAAGTTGAATTTTCTGTCTGTGATATGTTTGTTATGGGCTTTTCATCATGTGACCATTATTAAGGCTGTTTCATGAATGTATTCCACAAAGACAAGATGATATTGCCTGAGTGTATTCACTGTCAATTTGCGCTAAAGTCTCAAGCACAAATTAACATGACCAGAAGACAACACACAGAAAACTAAAATGTTAATCCATTGGATTCAATGTGGAAAAAAGCATGTCAAGGTAATGCATAAGGTTTGTCCTTCATTATTGTTAGCTTTCTTACTCTCAGAAATTTAATTTCAAACCCATGCATCTATTCTGATCTCATACCTTTGAAAGGTCAATGGACTCTTGACTAGAACAGCACTTCCTCGCTTTAAATAAAGCTCAGTTGTGAAGGTTAAGAGCCGGAGGAGTGGACACTGGGAATAGGGTAGAATTTAGAGACTCTGCTCTGGGTGGTGGGATTGAGGCATTCAGACTCTCCACTCATTTTAAAGAAGACTTCCTGTTCTTGCAGTTTACGTGTGAACTCTTCCTCCAGAGCCTGAGAGAGAGCAGGAGAGAGAGACATATAGTATGTGTGTACTTACAAAGAACAGTCCAACTCAATTTGTCAATATATGAGATAGCATATTATCATTCCAGAATACTATGACCTCAGACTTTATTCTAATATTTTTGTAGATTTGATGATAATATTAGGGTATATAGGTTTACACACACACACACACACACAGTTCAAAAGTTCAGGGACAGTAAGAGATTTTTTTTGTGAGAAATGAATACTTCTACTCAGCAAGGCTGCATGAAACTGACCAAAAGGGAAGACATTTATACATGTAACATACGATTTCTTGTAACACTTTACAATAAGGTTCATTAGTTAACTACCTTAGTTAACGAACTAAGAATGAACAATACTTCTACAGCATTTATTAACTTCAACATTTACAAATACATTATTGAAATCGAAAGTTGTATTTGTTTACGTTAGTTAATGCACTATAAACTAACATGACCAAACAATGAACAGCTGGATTAATGAACAAAGATGAATAAATACTGTAACAAAATGTATTGCTCATTGTTAGTTCATGTTAATTAATACATTAACTAATGAACCTTATTTGAATTGTAACCAGATTGTTATTTCAAATGAATGCCGTTCTTTTGAGCTTTCTATTCATCAGAGAATTCATCACAGTTCCCACAAATATATTAAGCAGCACAACTAAAGACTGGGGGTAATAATGACTGCTAAAAAAATCAGCTTTTCCATCACTTCAAAGAGAAAACATTTATTTAAATTGTAATCATATTTCACAATATTACTTATGTATTTTCACTGTATTTTTTATTGAATAATTGCAGCCTTGGTGAACAAAAGACACTTAATTAAAAAACATAAATCAGTAGTAGTGTGCATATAACATTTTATAATCATGTTAAATACATTTTTAGATTTCATACATTTTCTTAACAGCTTGTTTGGAAACCCCCAATCTTTGACATGGGGGGGAAGCAGCATGATCCACTTGAAATGATCAGGTTTAACTGGATCCAATGAAAATGCAAATAATGTTAATGATATACTGAATACCTTCTTCCTGGGACGAAGCTTCTCCCTCCAGTCTTTCAGCTCCTGACTGTGCTCCTCATCCAGCTCCTTCAGCTTCTGAGTCTCATGCTCAATCAGGAGGTGGCATTTCTCATTCTGTTGGCAATAAGACAATGAACCAGATGTTACAACCAAAGATAGAGGGCAACTAGTTTAATGACTCAACAGAACAGAGCATAAATGCAATCAAAAATGCAGGCACAAAGGAAAGAGGAAGACGGAAGGAATGCATGTCTGTGTGTTACAGACCTGCATCTGTTGAAGTTCTCTGATGTTGGAGTCACACTGCAGCTGCAAGTCTCTCATCTGGTTCTCATGTTTCTGATGCTGATGAAGTCTCTCATTCTTCTGTCTCTTGTCCTCTTGAGCAGCAAACTGCTCGAAAATAAAGTAGAAAAAGGTTTAAAAAGACTTAACTAGCCTGATTCCTCTGATCTTGACAAAGGTCTTCCTGATTAGAGGGTCTGACCTGTTTGATCTTCTCTCTGTCCTGCTCTGGTGTTCCTGTGCCAGTGATCCGCAGGCTCTTTTTAAACATTGCCATGCGCGTCTTCGCTTCACTGCGCTGGATCTTTGGCAGCCGAGCTCTTTCCTGTGTCTGCCTGTTCTTCATCTCCTCAATCAGCCGCTGGTTATAACCCTGCATCTGCTCCATCTCCTGATGACCAGCCAAGTAGGAATAAACAGTCAAACTGGCTACAAAACATGGCAGTATTTGATTTGTTGTATAAATTGACAGCCAGGTCTCACCTTGTCATGCCTCTTGAGGAGCTGATGTCTCTGCATGAAGTATTGATCCTTCAGCTGCTGCTTCAGCAACTGGTGTTTCTCCTGCAGGTGGCGCTCCTCCAGCTCCCACATGGCTGCCTCCCGAGCTGTTGGTTTGTGAGCCAAAGAAGAGGAAATAGAGCAATTCTCAGCCGTTAGAACCAGACCACTTGACTCCATGCATGTTTAGACATGGTTGCAGACACAGTCACAGTTCATTACACATCATAGATGGCAAATCTCAAAACAGTCTGCATGGGACATTTTTCACACATCTAATCAAATGAGATCTGGGCCACACCTCAAGAGGCATATGGCTGGCCTTTATAATTGGCCCCCTGTCTGAAAATAACAAAGTTTAGCTCTATTTCAGCTTTACTGTCAGTAGAAGCAGATAACGTCTTTCCGTTGTGGTTGGAGTTGAAAGCGTGACCTAGATAAATATAATCACCAAATATGTGCAGCGGATTTATTTATAATGAACATAACCACAAAAGTCTACTGGACTCTCTCATAAAATCACTCAGTGAAGTTTGATGTGAACTATTTGAGAATATACTAAACTAAAAAGTACTAAAAAGTACTTTTTAATACTAAAAAGTAAACTAAAATGTTAACAAAAAAAAAAAAAAAAATGCTTTAAAATGCTTTCTATTATTATTATTATTATTAATGTAAGAATATCAACAATGAAGGAAACAAGGAAAAAAAAAAAGAAAAATATATGTATTTCATTTATTTTTCTTTTTTTTCTTCTTTTTTTTTACAGAGGCCTCTGTTAATATTCTTACATTAATAAAAATCTTACTGTCCCCAAACAGTAGAGTGTGTGTGTGTGTGTGTGTGTGTGTGTGTGTGTGTGTGTGTGTGTGTGTATGTATGTATGTATGTATGTATGTATATGTATATGTATATATATGTATATATTAGGGCTGTCAAAATAACACGTTAATTTCGATTAATTAATCTGAGAAGAAATAACGCGTTAAAAAAAAATAACGCATATTAATCCATTCCGTTTTGACCTTTGCGGAGCCGTTCTAGCCGTAGCCACCATTCGTGTAAAAAGGAGGGAGACAAGAACGCGCTGCTTGGATCATTGTTTGACGGAGTTCGTCAACTCTAAAGTACCACATCAATGCAAAGCATCCAGGAGTGTGTGCGTGAGTCGGTGAGTGTGTCTGAGAGAAAGCGCGCTTGTGCGTGTGTGTGTGTGTGTTGTAACTTTTCACGCGCTCTCACGTCACAAAACCATTTTCTCACGCACATAAAAATCGCGCACCAAAGAGAGGACACGGAAACAGACAAGACAGACGTTATTATGATATTAAAAAAATCTCAGCTCTCAGATTCTGTCAATTTTATTACGAAAATCAAACAATAAATACCGTTGGCGCTTGTAAATGTGACATGACAGATCCCTATAGCGGCACGTGAACCGATCATCTCTAGCTAATAGTAAATAAACACGGATGAACAATGTTGAAAGATACAGTAGGGCAGCCTAAAACTTACCGAAATGTATATTCCTCGATCAATCAGTGTTTTTCAACCGCGAAAAGAGGTCAATAAAACAGCTGGAGAACAATTATGTCACATAACATTTAGCCTAAGTTACCTCAGGAAAGACATTTCATGACCATATGATAGCACGTTATAGTTGGCGATAAAAAAAGAGCTATAGAGAGTGTTTTTCTAAATTTATGTAGCCTACTACTATATTACATATGTATTATATTTTTTACTTGTATCAAAGTTGTTATTTGTAATAAACACGCATTATATTTAATTTGAGCTATTTTTAACCTTAAATATTACCAGCTGATATGGCTCTCTGTATTTTTACAGCATTGGGTGAGATTTTTTGTTTCTTGAGAAAAATGAATGCCTATCTTGTATATTTATCCAAATGAGTCAATATTGCATCAAATCACAAGAATTAAATTAAATTGAAATCGTGAAATTTGTGTCAAGCAATAATAATAAAAACGTAGCTTACCAGAAATTGTACCATGTAAACATTGTAAGATTGTGTATGCGATTAATTTATATTAATTAATTACAGAGTATGTAATTAATTAGATTAAAAATGTTAATCGATTGACAGCCCTAGTATATATATATATATATATATATATATATATATATATATATATATATATATATATATATATATACACACACACATACATACATATACATATATACACACACACACACACTCTACTGTTTGGGGACAGTAAGATTTTTCTGAGAGAAAGTAATATTTTTATTCAGCATGTTTGTGCAACAATATGAAAATATACTGCAGGCACACACACTATTATTAAATGTAAGAATATTTACAGAGGCCTCTCTGTAAAGCGTGTCTGACCTCTCATGAGCTGCTGCTTGTGGTTGAGACAGTCTCTCTCTATAGTGGCAATCTCTAGTTTGTGCTGCTGGATGATCTTCTTCAGAGCTCCATCCAGCTCCTGCTGCTGCCTCTGGAGAAACTCTTGCTCCTAAGAGAGACGGGTGGAGCGAGAAGAAAGGAATCGGGTACAGAAACAACAGGGGTGTTGTAAATTAGTATCTGTACATGATCATGCTCCAAGGTGAAGCAGACAAATTTCACATGAGCACTAACACAGCACTGATACCACAGCATTAAGAGACAGGTCACACACATAACCATTTAACAGAGATAAAACATTTATAAATTCATGATAAATGGATAAAGATTTAAGAAAGGAATGGTCTAGAGAATAGATTAACAATACATACAAAGTCACAGTACAGCAATAACAACCTTAAGATAAGCCCAGACTGACTTTTTCCATATTTTCTAAGCTGATTAAAGGGGAGAAAAAAGGTGGGATGGATTAAACACAATAAAATGTGTATTAAAATTAGTTCCTGAAAGCTTAATGAAATTTGATAAACGCAAAAAAGTACACTACCGTTCAAAAGTTTGGTCGGTATTGGTAAAAGTCTCATGCTTATCAAGGCTACATTTATTTGATCAAAAATACAGTAAAAACATTAATTTGGTGAAATATTCCAATTTAAAATAATGTTTTTTATTTGAATATATTTTAAATTGAAATTTTTTCCTGTGATGACAAAGCTGTATTTTCAGAATCATTACTCCAGTTTTCAGTGTCACATGATCCTTCAGAAATCATTCTAATATGCTGATTTGGTGCTCAAGAAACATTTCTTATTATGATCAATGTTAGAAAATAATCTATATTTTTGTGGAAACTATGATAGATTCTCTGTATTCTTTAATGAATAGAAAGTAAAAAAAAAAAAAAAAAAAAAAAAAAAAAAAAAAAAAAAAAACATCTTACAGACCACAAACTTTTCAATGGTAGTGTATGTATTTGTATAATTTCAGAAACCTTCCTGACAATCATTTCAGATCCATTTGGGCTTGCCAAAGACATGCGTAACACTGACAAATTACTCAACCAAACCTATACAGGCGATATATATATATAGATATATATATAGATATATAAGCTAATGCATTAATATACAACTAATAATAATAATAATAAATCTCAAAAGTCATCCTAAGTTCATCCTGATGTTCGTCTCCTTTGAACTTGGCCTTCAGTAGCAGACAGAAAAAAAAGCAGCACAGGTGATGCACAGAAACTTGACTAAAGTTTCAGTAACAGTATGAGAGAGTGAATAGATAGAAGAGATACTGAGACAGTGCAGCAACAGCACTCCAACACAACAGAGCACCTTCCTGCCCGCATGTGCCGTCAACATCACAAACACTACTGCACCGTTACAAAGGGGCATGCTTTAGCAGAACTGATTTGATTGTTCAACACGATTCTACTGGTGTCATTCAACAAATATATAGTTCAGGAGTGACAACAGTGCAATGATTCCAGGGAGGCTCACATGAACTTCTGCAGTAGGAATGAGGCATTTCAAAGTACTGGGGCGAGGAGATGTGCTGAAAACATGCATTTTGCATTTGTACTGGTTCTATATTTTATGGTCTATTCTATCTGGTTTTAAAATGTGTAAGCTAATCAGTTTTCCATTACTTTTAGTTATTTAAACAGGTTAGCTAAACTATTACAGCTGTTCTGAATTTGTATGCATCTGCTCTGTAACTTGTGTGACGGACAGGCACATGTGAGAGGGTTGAGTCACAAGGAGAGAAGAGACTTACATCCTGCATCTGAGCGTTGAACAGAGCACATGAGGACAACTGAAAAGACTGTATCATAACCTGGGCCACACCCTGTGGAGCAAAACACAGCCAACTCCACCACGTCAGGAACAGGGGACACACACCAGCACTCAAGCGCATCACACGCAAACCATACACACATCTCACAACATCATCTAGTCTCCTCACTGCAATAATCTGTTAAGTGTCCTGGGTCCCGAGCTAAGACCCGCAAGCAGTGAATTCAGTTGATCCAGATGATGGACAGAGAGCGGGTTTAGCAGCTGGTGAGTCTGAAGGCTTTCATCCTTGACATGCATGATGAGATGCAGCAGTCATCATTAGTCTGTTATTCTCCTCTCTCTTTAGAGTTGACGGAACATCCTACAGGGCCAAAAGTAGGGGGATACCCCTTTCTAACCGGTTTTGCTACTTCAGCTACACACATTTCTAACAGGTGCATAACAGCAAGTATACAGCCATGCCATCTGTACAGACAAACATTTGTAGTGGAATAGGATAGGGTTGCATGATAAACCAAAATAAAAGTGAAAGGGTACGATTTAATTATATAAATATATGCGCTGCATGTTTTGGAGTGAAGCGCCGACTGTGTTCTTTTATAAGCTAGCAGCTCATGACCCAGTATTTTCAGTGTTTCAAATGTTTCAAAATGAAATTAAGATCATTTTATTTTGCTGTATAACTGTAAAATTACAATACTAGCTATACTTCTTTCCTTAAATGATATTTGTATTTTACAGTAAAATATGATATCTGTAATATTTCTTAGAAATATTTTATTATTTTAGTTAATAATAAAAGTTATAATATTATCGTGCAGCCCTAAAATAGGGCTTTGTGATTATTTGGAATGCAGGCGCCAGATCTCATCGCCTAATCTCACTAATGCGTTTGTGTCTGGACAAGAGAGCGAATGTTCTATTATCTAGAAGTATAGTATTTCCAGAAAAGTGGAAGCTGTTCTGGCAGCAGAGGACAAACTCTTCATTAATGCCAATGGCAGTTTCTTTTTAAATAGGGAATTTAAGGAATAACCTTAATTATTGTCAATCCTACAATTCAAGATCAGAGTGGTAGAAAAGAGGAGAAGTGGAAGTGTGTGTGGGGAAGCCGGTGTCTAAATTACCTCTTCATGTTGAATGACTGCTAGGTCTTCCTTTAAGCGTTTCATGAGCTCTTTTCTCATGCGTTTGGGGGACTGTTCGACCTCTTGTTTGACCTACAGTGTGAGCATGCAGACTGTTGGGAATGAAGGCTTTACTTGCGTAGGGACTGACGGTGTAAATCATTAGTCGGAGAAAGTCATGCAAAATCTCCATGAAGGGTTAATCTATGAAGATGAACGCTTTAGTATTTGAAAGATAATCATCTCCAAACAACTGATGATTTCCAACTGGGTTAGCAGTTAATATAAAGATGATTCCAATAGCCCATGATCAGCTACTACCGTTAAAGAGTTGTTCAGAAGCTGAAGAACAGAGAAAAAGCCCACTAACAGCAGCTAACATAGATCCTTCCTTCACCTCTACAACCATTACAGCCATCAGAGTATAGATCCCTTCAAAGTAATCTAAAAGATGCACACTTCTATATTGCTGACGTTTGTTCTTCTGTAAAGGAAGCCGTGTCAGCAGGAACATTTTCTCAACAGCAAGAGAAGTCAAGTGCCAAAATGTCAAATTGTCAGTTTGATCAGGAAAGAAAAATATTTTGCTGACCCTAGATTATCCTCGTTCTCAGAAATGCCAGTCACTGTCCAACTGAAAATATTAACTTACTTTTAGCTGATATAGTTATCTTTATAGTTTCCGTTCTGGATGTTAATGGACCTTAACCCAGTCTGATTAATTAGCTGAAATTATTTGTATTGTCCAATTAATAAATATTACATAGTGTCTGTTCATTCAAATTGAACAATTTTGTCTATCTCTGCCATAATAAAATCATTTACATTCTCATTTCATGTACACTACCAGTAAAAAGTTTGGGGGCTGGTAAGTTTGTGTTAATATTTAGGAAGAAGTCTCTTATGCTGTATTTACTTGATCAAAAATAGAGTTATATTGAAATATTAATAAAGCTTAAAACAACTTTTCTAATTTAATATATTAGAATTTGTTACATGATCCTTCAGAAATCATTGTAATATGCTGATTCGGTGCAACAAACATTTGTTATTATTATCAATGTTAAAAACAGTTGGGCTGCTTACTCAAAAGAACAACATTTATTTGAAAGAAATATTTTGTAATATTATAAATGTCTTTACTCTCCCTTTTGATCACTGCATCCTTGATACATAAAAGTAGTCATTTAAAAATAAATCCTACTAACTTTTAAATGGTAGGGTAGTGTATATTACTTTATCTGCTGCTCAGCAATATAGAAAACTGAAATGTGCATCTTGCAATGGTCACTTTTAACAGTATTTTTAAAATGAAAGGAAACTTAATCTCTAGTAAATATTAGTCTATGAAAACTGTGTTCCCATCAAGAGAAGAGGCCCTGCACCACAGCACTGATCTCCACTCATTACATCACACTCACACAGCAACATAATTAGTGACATTTAGAAAAGCATAACATCATAAAACAATGTGTGAAAACAGTTATTTTACATATACTTATTCTGAAAAATAATATTAATACTTGTATTAATGTATAATGAAAAATGTATAAATTTCAATTTCAAGATGTATGTGAACAGGGTATCATGAGAGGGAGAAAGAGAGAGAGAAAACAAGACATTGCCGTATCTGAGTCCATTAAGGCACTCTTAGGCACATGCATATGACAGCATTAGTGTGGAGAAAGCTGTCTAGTACAAGTGCCACAGAAAAACCAAAACAAGAGAAAATAAGAGAATCTAGTGGTGCTAATACACAGTTTGACCATAGCTGTGAGCATGTATCATGCTGGCTGAAGATGCAATGAGAGACCAAACAGCTGAAATGTGCTCTATTATTATCATGTTACGGACTATGAAAGCAAATGCACCATGCATCAATACCTAAAAGGAAATAAGAATAGTGACAAACCCACACCACACAGACCCCGTTTCCATGAAGCCATGCATGATTGTACTGAAATCCCTTGATTCATGAGGAACACTTGAAAACACCAGCAGGAGGAAGAGATGAAATGAAGAGAACCTTTATTTTGTTCCTAAGCCATTGCTTAGCACCCAATTAACCTTTAAAGCCATCTCTGTGGCCTCTCGGAGGTAATTGAATGTGAAAGCCAGAGTTTCGTTAAGCAAACATAACATGATAAGAAAAGAACTGCTTTGCATTTACAAGTCTGAACACAAAGCAAGAGACACAGCTAAGATGTGTCTAAAGGGACAGATGAGGAAATCAATTCCATTTGCAGCTGCATTGTGATTCAAAGCAAAGCAGCTGAATTAGTTAAACGCAAGAGTGTCTGTTTGGATTTTGCATCCCCAGAAAACAAGAATGAAAAAAAGCTACTAAAAGCATACCAAATAGGGATGAGCATGAGCAATCTAACAGACAAATACTCATTCTGCTAACTAGTTGACAAGTAAACACTAATCACAAATATATTGATTTGAGTCTATGGCAGGCACAAAGGAGTCAGACAATGTAAAGAAAATGTTAAGCATGATCTAATCACTTATTCAGAAAAAAGGGATGAAAAGATGCAGGGACGCATATCAGCCTTTTTTTATAAGAATGTGAAGCTATAAAAAGTGAAAGTGATATGTTAAAACAGCATTTTTTTTTGTATGCAAATACACTAATGCTGGCAGCCTACTTTTCAAACTGATTTCTATGCAAGCTCCAGATAAATTTTTTTTTTTTATTAATGCATACTTCTCATTCTTTCAAAAGAGGTTGTAAAAGTTTTTTTTTTTTTTTTTACCAATGTAAGTGATATAGTTTAAAGTTAAATTTCTCAAAAGTGTCAAACTTGCATTTTTTACTTAAATGTAATTATGAGTAATCCATTACTCAGATTTTAGTTAGTGTAACTGTTCAATTACTCTGAAAGCTCATCCCTAGTACCAACAAGCAACAAGTCATGGCCTGATAAACAAATACATGCTTAAATACAGTACATTCGACTCTGCGCCCCTCTTTCTCGGTTACCTCCTTTTTGCGGTTCTTCAGCATGTTCTGGAACTTGGAGAGCTCCTTGTCCTGCTCTGCTTTGATCCTCTTGGCCTCATCTCTCAGCCGGTTGGTGTGGTCCTGCTCCAGACGCTCTATGGTCTGTTTTTGCTGTTTCTCAAGGTTCTCCACCTCTTGGTCATACTGACGTTTCTTTCCCTGTGCAGAGAGAGTGTGAAAGAGGAATACTGAGTCCCGGTAACTGACCACTAATGCACTGAGCAATTTTATCTGTGTGCTTGTGCCCCTGTGAGACTTCATCAGGCTTTTAAACCTGAACTAAAAGGGAGCAGTTTAACAAAAACACTAAACAATGGGTACAATTGAGTCCAAACCAGATGTTATGAGTTTATAGCAAATTTTTCTGTCATTAGCTATATTTCCATCCACCTATTTTTATGTGCATTTCGGTAATCGCATAAAAATTAAAACATTTAAAAAACCGCTGGATGAAACGCCAAGTTGCACATAAATTCTAAAAATGCACATGAAAATTGTGCGCTCAATTGAGTCAGATACATGTTTTATCCGATAAGAAAATATGTGCATAAACTATGATGAAAAACATTTACCGAAAAAATGTAATCGATACAAATGTAATCGATAATGCTGTTTTGGTCATTCTGAAATGCCTCAGCAAATTGGTTCGGTTTAATTATCTCATACACAACCGGGATAATTATTTCATTTGGACCAATGAAATCTGACTGTGGGTGGAGCTACTATAGATCACAACATTACAAAAATAGATCATAAATCCAAAAGTGCTTTGTGCTTGTCACTGTGGTGGCAAAATCTCAAATTAACATGAGAGAGATGGTTAGGAGGCAGTGTATTGCAGCCTTCCTGTTATGTGAATCAACCTTGTTGTCTTTAGTTACTTTTAACTTATCCATCATGCTACACCTGCATTTAAGAAAACAAAAAAACTGTTCTTTCAGTGTTTAAAGACAAAACAAAAGAGTGTACAATAAACAGTGAATTACAATGTTCAATGTAAACAAATATAGTGAGGGAATGAGGGTGCTGACCGTCATTTCCTGCTCGAAGCGCCTGAAGAGCTGCTCTTTCTGCTGCTGCAGTTTGTTGCTGAGCTGCTGCTGAGCTCTTTGCTCCTCTTTTTGCAGCAGCCTCAGTTCTCGTAGCTCCTGACGCCTACAAAATAAACACTTCACACTCTTTTTCTGGAGATTTAAAACATTTAAGCATTATCATATATACATTATCATTTGCCAGTCGCAAATTGCAATTAACTAGTAACAGTTACTGATGTCAGCTTAGATACCTCAAAAATCTCAGTTCCTCACTCTTGGTGTCATTGTCGGTGACAATCTTGGATGTGGTGACACTGACTTCCACCCCATCGACCATAAACTTGCGGGTCTTTTTCAGGGTTTTCTTTTGGCGCTTGCTGTCCTGTGGGAGTGAATAAAGTTGAACCTTAAGTTCAAGGACATCTGGTGCAGTTATAGCAGGGGTGTCAAACTCAGTTCCTGGAGGGCCACAACCCTGTAGAGTTTAGCTTCAACCCTAATTAAACACACCTGCTCCAGCTAATCAAGGTCTTCAGGATTACTAGAAGCTTCCAGGCAGGTGTTTTGGAGCTGATTGGAGCTAAACTCTGCAGGACAGTGGCCCAGGACCGGAGTTGACAGTTATATGTACCTGTATTGAAACAGATCCTTCTTTGCTTTTGGAGAGGAAGCTGGAGATTGACAGGTTAATGTCAATGCTGTTAGTATCTGCAGCAGAACTGCTGCCTGAGTCAGAGTCTTTCTCTTTTTCAACATCAGGTTTCACCACCTCTGCTGCATTCTGGTCATTCTCAAGCATGGTAGGTGCTTCCTGGCTCTCTGGTCTGTCTTCATTGCCTTCTTGAGGTTTTTCTGTTGCACTGACCTCCTGTTCTTTTACACCATTGATGACAAAAACAGGCAATTCATTCACAGAGGTGTCCTCTACTACATCTACTCCCTTGGTTGCAGGATCCTCTTTGGGTTCTGAACTCTCAGCCTCATCTCCACCTTTATCTTGTTCCTCTGTTGCCACTTGAGGAAGATCCTTCTTTACCTCTTCTGTAGAAACATCTGGTGAAGTTCCCGTTTGCTCCTCCTTTACTTCTGAAGAAGCATCTGGTGAAATTTCCAATTGGTTCTTCTTTACCTCTTCTGTAGAGACATCTGGTGAGGTTACTGTTCTCTCATCCTCCACTAGCTCCTTTTTAGTAATTTCTTCCTCAGTCTCAATTTTGTCTTCTGTTTTTCCTGTAACAACTGGTTCAGTGCCTTCTTCAATAACACCACCAGATTTGTTCACTACTTCAGCTTCATCTGAAGGCAGGATACGTTCCTCTTCTTCATCTGTGGTGGTTGGTGCTTTGGCTTGCTGCTGCATTTCTTCATACTCTTCTTTCTTCTCTGTTGTCTCTTCCACCTTCACTTCTTTCTTTTCTTCCTCTCCAGTTTCTTCACTGACGGTCACAATCTCTTGGAGGACGGTGTCATTTGATGCTGGTGGGTTTGGCTGATCAGAAATATCCACTTCTGTGGTCACTGGTGTAGGAGATTCCTCTTGTTTTGGTACAGCCTCCTCACCAGAACGTGATTCCTCATTGCTGGTGTCTGACACACTAAACTCATTCATCTTCTCATCCTCAGCATGGTTGGGTTTGCTGGTGTCCACCAGCATGTCGGAGGTCTTGTCACTAGCCTGATCCTCTGAACTGGGTTTTTTTTCAGGTTCAGCCCTCTCTGTGACTGACTCAAGAGTTGGCGTGTTCTGATACTGCCTCTCATCCTCTGAGCTGCCAACGCTGGTGTCCGATAATGCACGTTTGTGTCCAGGCACTGCCTACATATAACAAATAAAAACAAAGTGACTGCTGTAACAAAATACTGTGTGATGTGCATGAAGATGCTTAAGGAACTCTGCATGGAAGACAACACCACCATATTATCATCACAATTTCAGATTCTCTGAATGTGCTTCTACGTTCTGAAAGTGGTCAAAAATGTTGATGTTCATACCTGCTGGGGCTCGGGCTCTTCTTCCTCCTCTTCCTCTTTTCCCTCTTCCTCTTTTCCCTCTTCAATCTCCTCAACCACATCGGCTTTAGCCTCAGCAATTAGCTCTCGCAGTGGTTTGTTATCCTCCACATTTGAAACAAATGGATGCTGAAAGCAGACCATGGCTCATAACTGACATGTGCTTTTTAATTTCATCCTTTAAATGGAACTGCATCAAGAAATACAAGACGGCCCAACCTGTAAGAGCTGCAATGCACTCAACCTATTGTCTACATTCTTATCCAGTGCTTTCCGCAGGAAATCACTGAACTCTGGAGACCTGTTTAACACAGTGGAGGAACAAATATAAACCATGTGCTGAATTTAAAAGGGCTCTTCGTTTGGGGTATTACAGTCATAACTATTGAGTAACAAGCTATCCAGTTCCAGGCTGATCATGTGTTGGGACTCTGGGTGGGCGACAGCTTATATGATTCATCAGCTCAATAGCCTCCAGTTTTATTATTTCATAGTTGTAAGGTTATCTATCATACCACCCAAAATATTACTAAATATGACCAAAAACATTTTTTATTGAAATAACCTGTCCTCAGAAACACTCTTGCTTCTATTGCTAATCACATTTGACTTCATTGACACATGTGGAAGATCATGGCACTGTGAGTCATAACTCTTACCATCGTGATGGAGCTGCGAGTGTGGGGGGCTCAGACTTTGCTATTTTTAGCAGGACTCTCATTGGGTTCATCTCGTGGTTGGGTGGCTCGATCTGTGCCAGCTCGATCAGAGTCACCCCCAGGGACCAGATGTCTGCTTTGTAGTCGTACGGTCTGTCCTTTGACGTCTCACACATCACCACCTCGGGTGCCATCCTTGCATTTAAGAGAGAGGAGGGGAGGGAGGGGATTTTGTTAAATCGGACAAATAAAGAACCGTATTATGTGCCCTATTCACAGCTCTGTTCTTACATAGTGACAGATCTCATGATTCAAAGCAAGACTTAAATTGAGTGACTAACCAGTAAGGCGTTCCAATAAATGAGTCTCTTCTCTGTAGGGTCTTTGTATTCTTTGCAGACACTCCAAAGTCAGCTGAGAAGAGACATTGATCAAAATTAAAGACATACATTATGGCTGACAGCACTATGGAATTAAAAAAGCTATTAAAAAAGCCTTAAGTTTTTCAACAACTTTTGTTGTTGTTAGTTTTTAAGTCAAGATAAACATTTCAGTTTACTAATATCCGCCCCTATTAATTACCGAAGATCAATTAATAAGACTTTGACAAAATTACTTTTCCCTGACCTTTCCAGATGTTTGGGGTGACTGGATAAGGTTTTTTATTTTTTATAGAAATTATTAGGTGTTTTCAACAGTCATAAAGAGTAATTCCTAGCCAATTTAAAGTAACAACAGGTAACTTTTCAACCTTCATAATATATTTCCAAGTCTCTTGTGATGGTACATCGACTTACAATAGGTTGAATGACACGTCTGCCATAGCCTGACGGGGTCTGTAGCGTTTTTAATCGTACTTTTAAACTTCGGGTTTCGGGTAGTAACCGGCGAACAAAGAGAACTACAAAATTCGACTGCTTTACGGCATATACGTCACTTCCACCACCACCCCCACTTCCTTAAAATCGGACTTGCGAGCCAAATGTTATAGTCATGGCCGAAGCAGCACAGAAATACAAGAAAGCAAAGGTTTTATCGGAGCAAAGCAAAAAGAGAAAAAGAGAAAGTGATCGCGTTAAAGGCAGAACGAGGATCAACATTGCAGAGCTGCCAACTCTCACGCATTGGCCGTGAGACACCCGCATTTGATTGGTTTCACACGCTCACACGTACGCCACACCCCCGGTTTCTCACGCTAAATTGTCAACCCGGTCGGTCAAATGCCTGAAAGATGAGTTTATCTATAGATCTCTACCTGTTGAGCCACTCGTGATCGACAAGTTATACCGCAAATTAGTTCAAATCTCCCGGAATCTAGAGCGAGCGCGCACGCGAGACAGAGACTGTGCTCCAACGCGCGCGGACGGCAGAGAGAGAAAGCGAGCGAGAGACCTTGCGTGTGCAGGGAGCATCGAACCCCCCATCGAAACAAGAATGCCTCTCTCTAACCTCTCTAATTCGCTAGAGTAGTAGCGAATTATCAATCTGGTAGCTAGTAAACGATATTCTAGTTTTTGATGGTTAGCTATCGCTAGTATTCTCGTTCTGATTTGAACTTTGCAATCGATGAAATGCAAATAGCAAATGTTTGACCTAAAAAGTGTAGTATACTCAACATGTACAAAGAAAGGAGGAAGATTATTAATAAAATCATATTTTAGGATACCTTACATGTCTGTGATATTTGTTTATTTGTCTTGCCTCAAGCTATAACGCAAATCGATTTGTAAAATTTGCAGATTCATTTATGGTAGCTTGATATTATAATATTGACGATATATGGTTATTATCAACCACTCAAACATTGCATTGAAGTATCATATAGATTCAGTAAAACGTAACCAATAGACTAGGCTACTATAATGACGCTGGCTTGTAAACGTGAGCATCGCGATCATTTGTCGTTAGAAAAAAAATAAAACCCATGAAATTATATTCATATGACATGCTGAAATATATGCCACTGTACCTGGGATGAAGACATTTCACACGCGACGCAAGCAGAACACCTGCATGTGACCTCCTCCTACAGTGTTCAGGGCTATCATGGTTGTCAACAATTGCACGTGCATTTAGGATGACAGAGTTTACGACAGTAGTAGAGGACAATACTGTTTCCCAACTGTAGGGGGACCCCGAGAGCAAAAGTTATCTGTTGTTACTTTAATGTTTTAGAGCAAAGCAACATTTAGATATATAAATGTAACAATTATAAAATTAGAATTTTATAATTATGAATTGTCATAACTGTTAGTATATAAAATGTAATTGTCATTCTTAGATTTTAAAATTATATTTACATTTTATAATTAAAAACAATTAATTTAATAAATATATTTAGTATTATTATTATATAAATAAATATTTATTTTCTATTTATTACATATTTTTGATAATTTTACTCATTTTGATCACAATTTAAGGACAGGGAAATTACCATTTTAAAACTCCCTGATACTTCCAGTCTTTCAAGACTCCAGTGAAAATGTAGTATTATTTATATAACTTTTATATTTTTCAGTTCTCTTTCAATTTTAGTTATTTTTTTATGTTATGTGCATTTGTCATTTTTATTAGGGTTTTTTTTATTTTTAAATTATTTTGTTGTTGTTGTTGTAATTTTAGTACTTCAACTTATTTTAACTTATTTCTAATTTTTGTTCAAGTTTTTTTTTCCATCATCGAAAATATTTTATTTCAACTTTATTTCAATTAACGAAAATGTTTTTTAATAGTTTGTTTTATTTAACAATAACAACATTGTCTTCTTTTTAAGGCAGTCATTTGTCCCTCAGGTGCTAAGACAGTATTTAAGCACAATTCATGAAGCTATTACCCAATTTGACGTCTCCATCCGAGGTAAAGAGAATATTTCCAGCCTTCAGGTCCCGGTGTATAATCTTATTTTCATGGAGGTAAACCAGCGCCTCCAGTGTCTGTTTACACACAACCCGGATCTGAGGCTCTGTCAGTGGCCGCTCCAGCTCTGCAGACACACACACACACAAGCAAAATTACCGTAAACAGAGTCACTGCTAAGCAAGCACGCTTTATACAATTTTTTTTATTTGCAGTGATGTGTATTCAAGTTAAACTAGACAAATAAACTACAATGTAAAAGGGACAAAGGGTTATGGCTTTTATTAATAGAGTTGTTCTCTGCTGTTGTTCTTGGCTAAGTAGTGCACACTGACTGAAGCAATGTGAACTGCCTTTATTACAGCAGCACTGCTGGGATAGGCCATCACAGAACAGGCAGAAGGCAACAGAGGGAGTTATAACAGCACAAACAGTGAGTCAACAAAAGCGTTTCCATCATAAGAACACCTCCTCACCCCAACACCTCCCACCAGCAACACCTCTCTTTCAGGCTAAATGTAGAAGTAGCCAGATTTTCATCACAGAAGACTAAACAGTCATAAGAAGGAGAGGTTTTATTCTTACAGGATATTGTTTACAACTGCAAAATGTTTTTTTCAATCAAATAAGGTGACAAGATTTGTGATTGAAAACAGCTTTTTGTAAATGGTACAGACAACACTGTACAAAAAGAGAAGAAATGGGACCATTTGTTAGACATTTAAGCATTGTTTCTGGCTGAATTAATACCACTGAGAGCCATGAAAAATTTGTAATTTCTACTTATGAATTTGCTGACATGGCATGTCACAGAAAAGGTCTGATCTGTGTGGGGACATTTCAACAATGCTTCCAACCAACACGGAAAAAGGCTGAGTGAGTAGCTTTAAAAAGAGCCTAACCACTCCTTAAAAAACTGAAGTTGATAATTATATGGTCCAGTCCAGTGGCAAAACTGAGCACAGCATGCTGGTGTGCCAGTGAGGTCTGGAGGAATGGAACATCATCACACAGTAGAACAGACTCAGACGACCACAGAGCCTTCTATTACCTTCAGTTAAACAAAGACCATTAAACTTACCCAACATCACAGCGTCTACCGCTCCTCCGGCACAAAACTCAATGAAAATCTAAAGAAGGGGGAGAAAGACAGAGATCCAGAAGATGAATGAACTAATAATGACACTGATTCCACAGTTTGCAATTTAGCTCCATTGCGAGGGTGGAAGAAGGCATGATGCATTACATTTATCAAATGTTACAGTACAGGCATTTATAATGTTACAAAAGATTTCTATTTTGAATAAATGCTGTACTTTTGAACTTGCTATTCATCAAAGAATCCTGAAAGAAAGTATCACGGTTTCCACAAAAAATAATAATTATATATTGGTTCCTTCTGGCTTCTAGTTAAAGCACTGATGACTTCACTTACAAACCTTTTCCGAGGTCTTTGTTAATGCCACTCTCAGGTATCATTAGAAGGGCTATGATGAGATGAGAACATTTTGTAAAAATTGCTAATCTAATTTCTAGTTTAATTAGGTTACACAAGCATTCACTTATTTTTTTGGTATACTGGTGCAACCAACAGCAGTGCAGTGATAAATGAAACTTGAGACTCTGAGTGAAATGATAAAATCATTATGTAAGTGAACACCGTCCTATTATACTGACCACAGCAGCTGGTCTTTAAGGTAACAGGTGCTGCAGAAAAATCAATACAACCCCTATATTATGCTATGTCCCATGAGAGGAGAGAAATACATAGTAACCATACAGTAAGCAATCTCATCACAAAGTAAGAGAACTTAAGTTTATATCGGACACACTTCGACACTAGAGCGTCAGTTCTTTCATACAATGTTAACTCATGAAAAGTCAGCTGCATCTGAATTAACTATGAACACTGACAGGAGGCTGGAGAGTAATGTAACATTACGTGACAAACAATTGACTGCTGTGCAGATTTTAGTCAGCTTTCTATGAATATTTTACACAGCTCTGACACTGAGTGTAGGAACGCTCTCTACGCATTAAGAGGCTTGCTTGTGCTGCTATGAGCTGTGCATTCATATCTCTTGAATAGCAGCCAGGCTAAGCAGACTGGACTTGCATCTAATTAATTCATGAGCACTTTCTCTGGTCATTTGAAATAGGCCATTATCCTTCTATACATGCCAACCGCAGAGGAGAGGATCATTTGAAACCATCCTTCCGTAATTATCTTGGGAGCTCTATAGTAGAAAAATAGGATCCACTGACACTCTTCAGACAGGGATGAACAGAGAGGGATAATTGTGGACTAGTATGGAGCTGTTAGTCTTTGACATTGTCATTATTCACTATTACATTTTCAAAAATGAAATGAGCAAGGTTTTTTTTTATTGTTTTTGCCGTTATTGAGAGGGAAATAATGTGGGAATGAACTTTATCCAACAGGATTTGATCATTACATCTCAGGGCCCTTTCACACCTACCTTGTGTGTGAAACCTACCCCGGACCACGGTCCGGACCAAACAGATGAAATTTGGTCCGACGAAAAGAGGTAGTCTCGGTCCGGATCAAACTGAACAAAGGTTTTGTTCGTTTCTAGTGTGAAAGCATTTCTGTATGGTTCGGACTTTCAGACCTTTTACAGGAAGTTCCGGTGGTTCCCGCACAGCCGAAAAAACAGAAGGTGGCAGGAAAAATGAGCCGTGGTAGCACATGGGGAGAGGAGGAGACAAGGTTTTTAATTGAAGTATGGTCTGATGACATAAGAAGTCAACTCGATAAAATGTTCGCACGACGAGGACGTTCATTTGGCGAATTTGAACTAGCCTTGTGTATAGTTGGTGCTGCAGGTAATTATGCCATAAAAATAACAATATAGTTGCAACGACATGCGTCTGTTCATTCATGTTGTCAAAGTTACCCGCCGAATTGACAACACGCTGACGTCAGACACACATCCATTTACAAACCAATCAATGTCAAGATGCAGCCCACATAGATGATGACAACAGGACGCAAGTATGTCACGTAAAGTTCTTTAGTGTGCACGCATAATTGCAGTGTGAAACCAAACCGAAACTTTCTGAAAGTATAAAATGTATCAAAACGTGAACTTTGGTTCGGACCTTGGTGCGGACTTTCAGGTGTGAAAACGGCCTTAGATTTTATTAGGGACAAAAATTTGTTTGATAAAAATAAAACATTTAAAAATAGAAAATGAAAAACATTACTTAAAAAATAATGCGGTTACAAAATGGTTACAAAGCCCAGTATGAACATTATGCCATATTTTAATAGCCTCATAGTATGTGAGAAAACACAGCAAGATCCAGTTTGTTTTGTGTACAAACACTTCTTAACCAACAGCATAGTGCTACTCGATGAGCAAGGCGAGAGTGAAGTGTGCTCTCACTCCTACTCCTCCTACAGAGGTCAACGTCTGTGTATGTGTGTGTCTGGCTGCAGTACAGCAGAAGTAACCAAACCCCTCATGAGAAGAGTCACTCACCCATAGTTTGCTCTCATAATAGAAAGCATCCAGCAGTTTGACTATGTAGTGATGGTCACAGGAGGCAAGGATCTCAATCTCTACCATGTAGTCCTCTAGCTCCTCTTCTGTTTTGGTATCGATCACTTTCGCTGCAGCCAGGATCCCAGTCTCTTTGTTCTGAGCCTGTGATAAAAGCAAACAGTGGGAAACATTCAACAGGTAGCACAGGCATACAATGGCTTCTATGATGCTGTACAGACCTGCTATTCAAACAGCAGCTCACAAACCACATGCATATTGTCAGTGCCAGGGGCTCAAACTTAAGGATAATTTTCTTTGATCTTGAACATATTTTCATCTGAGCTGTAATAACTGTCAGAGTCGTTGTGAGTTACATATCTATGATGCACCTCTACTCTGAGCAGACAACCACTAAGATACAATCAATAACTAGAAGATCAATTTCGCTAGTCTCAGCCTCAGACGTCATGCTCACGGACTGCCCACACTCCTTTCCTTTCACCTGATGTCTGATGCATATGGCAGACTAATAAAGATATACTTACACAAAGTCATATGTCAACTTCTACCTGATTTCTAGGAGTCTAGTGTTTGGCCGTCTTTAATGTCTAAAAGGAAACAAATCCGTTTACTTGAAGACGGTGACAATAACCGATTCACAAACTACTAAATGCTGGGTTTTAAAAAGGTAGTGAAGGTGAATTTTAAACCTTTTGAAATCCAGCGGTTAGTTGCTCATGCGAAGCAGGTTAGAATCATTAAAGTCCCTGTAAAGTCAAAATTAAGTATGTGTTCTGAGTTTGTCACACCACAGAAAAATCTGTTATTAGCCACCCAGCCAAATTTGAATGATAAAAAAAAGCCACCAAGTAAATAAAATAATCTATCAAAAAATCTTTAAAAAATTTGCAGAATTCTGTGCTCTCATACGCTGGGGGCGTGGCCGCTGTGTGCGCTGAAATCACGGGAGGATGAATGCCGAGGAGGGACTGGCCCCATTCACCAGTAACAGCGGATTATCAGTGAATCCCAGTTGTCTCCGACAAAAGTTTATAAAACTATCCTGTGTAAAAAGATCACTACAGAGGCGGGTGTTGGTGGTTATCCTCAGCTCTCCATCAAGGTGGCTCAGACACCGGTCTGTTTTGTAAGTGATGGCATCCAGGTAATACGCATTTCCATGACGAAGGCATAGCTAGCTAGCAAACTGTAGGCTCTAGTAAATAGTACTGAAAGTAACTTGCCCAAGCGGCGAACTGATGCGAATGTGCTTTAGTTATATTGTTAGGGGAGGGGCCAGCATCAGTCGCCCCAGTGCGTCATCGACACCCAAAAAATCCTGAACACAGCAAAGGTGCAAAACTGTTTAACGGTCTAACTACACAATTCAGTACTTCACAGTTTGTAATGTGTTTTAGCAATACATTTCTATGCGTTTAGAATTTTTTTTTTTGAATTGCCTTTACAGGGACTTTAAAAGATATTTAATAGGTTTTTGAGGCACTTAGTTGAATGTAAAATAGATGTTTGTTTACTTACAAGACACAGGAAAAGTATAATTTTCCAAGCTTGGTCCACCCTTTACCAACATATGAAGGGATTCCTAGGTGATTATTTTATTAGCTGTCCTCTCACATCTTTAATGGAAGACCAGGTAAAGTACCTTACTTAAAATGGAATACCTGCAGCATATGAAAGCACTGATCACCGCCTGCTTTAGTATTGTATTCGGATCACCCAATTGTTTTATGTGCACAAAACGTGGAGAGAAGTGTACAGAAGGCGTCTGATGGTTGTTGATGAAGTGCACACCTTTGAAATAATCTGTGCCAGAGAAAAAAAAAACTTTACTGTCATCTCGAACTAATTTATTAAATTTAAATGCAGATTGTTGCACAACTATTTGCTTTAACTTTCATCCCAATCTTCTTGACTGAATGAATGGCATATGATTACATGGTCTGTTATTGTAGCAAGTTTTACCTGCCACAAAACATGACGATGCTCAAAACAAGTAATTGGTTGCTTTACATGTCAGTCGCCTCTTCCTGCCTGAGTGGACGATCCTTGGCCAATTGAAGTGCACAGATGTTATTAAGATGATGATGACGAACTGAACATTTTGAAGTGGAAACATTCTTTCACATCAAAATCAAATAGTGTGTAAAATTCTCATTTCTGGTGGTGTAATATAAAAAAAATTTAATTCATGAAGCATTTGGTTTTCAGTGCAGCCTCAGGAGACAGCAAAAATACAGCGTTACCATGACTTCTGAACTGTCTGATGTAGCTTTGTACTAAATTTTTACTTTACTAATACTTTTTCACTATGAGTTAGTCTGAAATGTTGCTGTTTGAGCATAAAAAAGATCTGCCAGGTTACAAAGCTCAAAGTCTTACAAAATTTTATTTAACAGAATCCACTTTTCAAGAACTACAATGAATGGCTCGTTTGAACTACAACACGATCTTGACTTATGTCACAATGTTACTCATTTAAATAATCCGGAATATGCAAAAAAGGGGGCTAGGCCTGGTTGAGCTGCAAAGAGACGAATGATCCTCGTTCGTTAACATTATCAGGGTCTGAATCGAGCTCTAATTGATTTGAAATTGACGCCATCCTTAATATTTACAGTTTACACTAGAGCAGAAATCGCAGTTATGGAGGGGCGGGACATTTCCCGAACAAGCGCTACGCAGTGCCAATCACGACACACTGGGCCAGTTAACCAATCACAGCACATTTCGTATTTTGGATGGAGGGGTTTCATGGAAACAGGACCTAGATGGCGCATTCGAGACAGACTGGGGAGTGAGGAGCTGTAATAATACAAAATAATGCGTTTTTTGAACAGTCAAGCATGAAAACATATTCTAGTACACCCCAAAAACAAAATCAAGACTTCGTAATAGGGCATAATAGGAGTACCCCTTTAATGGCATTAGTAGCACTATGAGTAAAACTATTGAGAAAAATAAGGAACTTGTGTACAACTGTAAAATGGCTGAATGAGAAACAAATTCCTGAATGTACCCAGAGATTAGCCTATTGCCTTTGACCTACTTCATTACAAAAGCATTTTCACAGCTTTACTCCAACAAGAGAGACATTCAGAATGAAACTTATAACCATCAAAGCACATTGGCCTTGCTAACTAACTAATTTGTTACAATAATGATTGAGTAATAAGCCAACAGACATCACGTTTGTAACTGTATTATGAAATTCTGGAATACTGAACATGAGATATGTATATGATATAAAAAAAAACCGGAAATATCTTGTAAAAGATTAGCCCCTCCCTGTAACCTGCAACTGATACATAAGCAACAACATCTATTCTTTAAAAAAGCAGAAAAAAGAAAAACGGAAGCATGACAGGGTTACCTCATCTAAAAGGCGCGCCAGAGGCTGTTTGAGGAAATGCATATATCCATTAGGTATTTTGTAAGTGTTTGCATTAGCTAACAACTCCAGAATATTCTATTCAAATCGGATGTGACTAATGACGGGTGTAACACATTATTCCATTCAACCATCCTCCTCCTATGCCAAGGAACAGTTTCTATTCTGGGATCAACCTCTGAGTGTTTACAGCTACCCAAAAACAGAGAAGAGCAGACAGAGAAAGGAAAGGGTCAAGTGTACCATGAAATGTGTGAGTGGACCAGAGTTTATTGTAGCAGAAAGTCTCTCACAATTTCACTTGTACTGCTTTACGCCTGTTTCTACCCTCAAACCAACAGGAAATTAACACAACCTCTGCATTTCTGAAACAACCATGCTAAAGAGAGAGAGTAGGGTTCATTTGGTTTCCATTATTGTTCCACAGACCTGGCGAGTCTGGGCTGGTCACACTTCTCATAGTTCATCAGAAGAGGAAATCATTTATCATAACTGTATTGTGCTAGTGCTGATAAGAATATACTACAGTGTTGCTGATAAGAATATACAATCTCAATGCTCAAAGAAAGACAACAGACTGGTCAATAAAACCAAATTCAGATCATGCGGTTTAAAATCGCAATGAAATTGAAGTCGCAACCGATCAAGTGGGGTGGGCACTTGGTTCTATCCATCAGGATTTTGATAGATTTTGATAGTCCTGCATATGTCCCCAGATGGTCCAGTTATGACATTTTAACAAACATTCTGATGTAAACATTTTTTTAGGAAAAACGAAACATGCACAGATGATTTGTTTACAATAAGTTCTATGTATTTGACAAAACACTATGGGGAATTGACATTTCTTGCCGACTTTAAGCTAGCCAAATAATCTCAGAAACCTAAAAAACTAAATTTGTCAGGGAAAACATGTAGAACAGAGCTTGATTTTATCCATCTGGAAATGACTGAATGGAGGTTGTTCATTATCATTATGGAGCCATATCAACTTTGCTAAAAAACAATGCCTGAATCACATTATCCAACAGCCAGTATGGCCTAAGTGATGTCACTGGACATTGACAAGCAAAATTGTTTCAGAGGAGAGTTATTATGTTTTGGTTAAAAATTACAAAGACAAAATTGTTTTCCCCTTTGAAATAACATCCACTGAAGAATCTTTCACTGACCAGGAATGTACATTCATTTATTGATAACTTGTTTTGCTTAGAATATTTTTTTAAAGAGACTCAAAATACAGTACAGTGTATCTCACCATAAGTAAGATAGGAATAAAAGACAGCAAAAATAAAAAGAAACAGTAGTGAACCTCTGGTAAACCACATGAAAATGTGGTTCAGATGTTTATCAAAGTGCCCCACACGCCCAGCATCACTGCAGGCTTCCACAGACAGGAAGATCCTGCTGATTCACCCTGATCAACCTCACCACACCTCTGCATGAGATCCTACATTCACTCACACAGAGCGTTACTTCCTCATTAGACAACTTCTTACAAATACTTATTTCAGAATAAGATGTCCATAAACTTGAGACATACTGATTATATTTTGTGGCTGGTTTTGTATGAAAACCAGTGCAGAATTTTAAATAAAGACTAATCTGTCTGCACTTTAATCATGTCACTATGATACCTCAAAGACGTGTGTAGTACAATTTAATTAGTATGTCACTCACACCCAACTTGTGGTGTCACAAACACAATGCATTCCATAAACAAGAGCAGTATGGAAACATTCTTCATCAGCTTGAAGTGAAGCAGGCAGGGACTAACAGGGACGGTGTGAATTCAACTGGTTCTACAACACGAGCAAAACTACATTAACGATAAATCCAAATACTACTTAGTTGTGTATGACTCTTTTTATTCCAATTAAATTGTTTTCAATTGAGAGTGGAAAGTCGTTGGGTTCAATAACTCTACATTGTAGATGAAGTTGCCCATGTTTACATCCTTTTCTTTACTTCTCTACTGCCCTTACAAAAATATGCCATGGTAACAATTGTTTCTGCCAAACTACCATAGTTGCTAGTGCTACAGTTATTCATAACACTGAAGTCATCAAGAGATTCATCAAGCAGTTTTCAATAAAGTGTCAAGTGCTGGTCAGGAAACAATCATTTAATCAGTTAAAATGATAGGTTTTTATTTAATCCGTTAAAATGATAGTTCAACTTTACATTAAAGTTCTGTCATCGTCACCTTTTTATCCCGTGGAACACAAAATGAGTTGTTAGTCTGAATGAGTCTCAGCAAGCAACTATTTACTTTCATTGTATGGAAAACAGATGCAATTGATGGAGTTATGCTGGTAGTCTCTGACAACATCTCGTTTTGTGTCATACAGGTTTGGAACGACATAAAGGTAAATAAATATTGACAACATTGACACTTTGGAGAGAACCGCACCTTTAAAATGAATCAGTAGAGTCAGAGGGACAATGCTAATACACTCAGGTGACAATCACCTACTGGAGGATGATGATATTTACCTTGTAGACTTTCCCAAAGGCTCCATCCCCAAGTTCTCCCACGATCTCCCACTCCTCCTCGGGGTTGATGTCTCTGTGAACGTGCTCATACTGTTTCTTCTTCTTCTCCGTGCCCAGCTTAAATATCTTCCGAAAATTGAAAAAGGACATCTTCTAAACGCAATCTATATGTCTGTCGGTTTTAAAAAAAGAAATGACACGACACGACATAAACTGTTGTTAACACTGTATTAAACGAATCACTTGGGGAGTTGGCTAATGGGCTAGCTGCGGATGATCGATTCCTAGCTAACTCATTTAACTGTACAGTTGCAGACAGCACCAAGTAATCCAGTGAATGGCGGCGACGGTATTAGTCTCTCTGAAAGTGACCGAGGTCAGTCTTTATGTGGCATTTCGCGTCTCCATAACATTGAATCATCTAGACGAGCGACTCCTTCCACACAGGGATGGAAAAGTAACAGTCCACTTCCTCAGCTAGCTTCACAACGGCTACATGTGTGATTCTCTGTATATACCTCACCCGTCTGGTAAAAAATAAGCCTCGCAGTCAAACAAGTCTCGCGTATTCAAATATGTCGTTTTAAAAAAAAATACGGTGCAGTAAAATCCATAAAGGTGGAGGCGATTAAGTAGTTAGCACACCGTAAAAATGCGGAGCGGATGCTGATGACCAAACTCCTGTCTGAGCTCAGTCTACTGCTCACGGGGAGGGGTGTGTGTACAGCTTAGCCAAACACAACCGTTTCGATAAAACCGATTGAACAAACTACAGGACACCAGCAGGCCAGTCGACACTGCTCGCGGTGTTGAAATGGATGTTTCTCGTGCCTTGCTCAACGGTCGGTCGGGTCTCTCGTGACTAACTTCTCGAGGATGTTGCGGGAGGACTCGAAGGCGAAGCGCGTGCGTTTGGATAGGGAAGGCGCGTGCCCGGCAGTGGAAACACTGGCGCATGCGCAGTTGGTGATGGCCATGTAGAGGACAGCACTGTTCTGACTTAAAATCAGTAACCTAACCAATAGTGGTAGGGGATTTGATTCATCCCATTTAATTGAATACTCTGAATCACATACCAATAAATAATTAAACAGCTACTGATATTGCTCCTTCACAGCCCGCACTCATACTCACTTAAAAATGTTGGGTTAAAAATAACCCAACAAATAACCCAACGTTTTTTTACTGTGTAAGAAATTAGGCCTATTTGAAATGGAAAAAAGCAGCCGTTAGCTGTTATGGAAAAAGTCTTCTCTTTGCAAAAAAATTCATTTCTAGATGGCTAAACCGAGATGCCTGTAGAACATCAAATATTCTCAATCCCAACTCTTTATTTTTATACAGTTTTAACCAATGACCTCATACACAGGTGTTTGCTATTGTAATGGCAATTTATAATTGTAATTGTAATTGTAATTTTGATTCATCTTCCACCAGTCGGCCCAATTGTTTCTTTAACTTCTTGGCTTCTTCTTACTAGTGGCACGCTGTCTATTAGATTTTTTTTTTTTTAAATATATGTTTTTACTTTGTGACACTCAAGTGGTGAGAACAGGCATACTATGTCCCATACACTGAATACAGTGTTACTGATTGTCTGAACGTGAACAATGAGTTTCAAGAGGTCTAACATTTTCTAGTTTTACAGGGGTCTAAAAGGCCTAACATTTTCTTAATTCTATCAAACTACTCTACAAAAATATACTGTATTTCTAATCAAATATACTATAGCCTACCACACGCTTAAAAAGGGAGAGATGTCCGTGATTTTGGCTCATTTACCAATGAGGCCAAGGAGGCTCACTTTGGCATACAGTACTTGGAAAAAGGACTTTTGGTTAAATAAGTGGCCATACACTGACATCTACTGGGGGAAAGAGGGTAATGCAGAAGTGTCACACCTGGAAATGTCACTCATGTAGTAGCCTTCTCATAAAGTTGTGGGTTCTCCCCAATGCTCTTATTCCTAAAAATGGAGAATGTAGATCGAACAGTGGGCAACATTTTGTCTGAAACGCCCTCTATTGAAGAGCTGGAGGATATATTACATGGGGGTAAGCTGTCCTGTAACCATGTCGATGAAGTGTGGCCTAATTTGTTTCTGGGGGACATGTAAGTGCATTTGTTTGTGACTTCTTTTTGATTTGTTGATTAAAAGAAAATATTAGCCGTTTACTATGTCATTCTTTCATAAACAGGTACATGTCTCATGACAGATATGGCCTATGGAGACTGGGTATAACTCATGTTTTAAATGCTGCACATGGTAAAATGTGTTGCAAAGGAAGAGATGATTTTTATGGGACAACTGTGAAGTACTATGGTGTTCCGGCCAATGATCTGCCTACATTTGATATTTCACCTTTTTTCTACCCTTCAGCACACTACATTAATGATGCTCTCAGCACTACAGATGGTATGTAAAAACATTTAATTTCCATTTTTAAAATAGTATAACATTTTTTAGGCACGATCAACACTGGTTAGTGTTATTTTATTATTATTTTATCCATTTGAATTATTAATTGATATCTAATTAAATTTTTATGGAGATAGATAGATAGATAGATAGATAGATAGATAGATAGATAGATAGATAGATAGATAGATAGATAGATAGATAGATAGATAGATAGATAGATAGATAGATAGATAGATTTGTTACTTTCAGATTCATGATTGTATCTCTTTTCAACAGCTAAAGTGTTTGTGCATTGTGCTGTGGGAGTGAGCCGTTCAGCTGCTCTGGTCTTAGCTTACCTAATGATTTATTGCAATTACTCTCTGGTGGATGCCATCTTGAAAGTGAAAGAAAGAAGATGGATCTTTCCAAACCGAGGATTTCTGAAGCAGTTAATAACTCTCGGCAATGAATTAAACCACAAGGCACAGTCAAAGTAGCTTGATATTCTTTAAACAAGCATGCAATTCAGAAATCTGTAAATTCAAACATCTAATAACATTTAAACAGTACTCCTGCAGTGATCAACAACAATCATCATTAACATAATAATAAACAATTTCTGGTCTGTATAATCACAGCTTTGTGTTGTACTTTGGTTAAATGTAGGCTATTTTTCCCCCGCAATATTTAATTACTGAATAATATACTGGGCACAAATTAAACCTCAAATACAATCTTTGATATATTTTATATAATCTTGAGCTGATCAGTATGCAAATGCAAAGCTGATCAGCAAACACTGTTACTCTGTTTTTCTCTTTGTTCCACTATGTACAATACTCCAAATGTTCACAGATGGTCACTCAACACAATTGTCACTTATTGTCCCGTTCTCTCGTCATCGGATGAATCATCCGTAACTTGTGAAACAGATCACAATGTCCATAGAAATGGAACAAGCTAGAATGGCAATAAGAAACTTTTTTTTATTTTTTTATTTAAAGGTTGGGATTAGCGGCCTAGACGTCAGTTACGATATGTAGGCTACATAATAATTAACAAATCTTTACAATGTACAATGTATTGTCAAACCTGGGGTTAGTTAAATATTTTCAGTGTTCTGGTCCAAAGCACTGACGTAGTAGGCTACAAATACGTAATCACGTGGTGCTTGTTACTTTTTCCCACGCTAGTCAAGATGGGCCAATCACAATACGTGATTAACGTTACTGGTGCAGCCATTTTATTCAACAATTTTATTAAGACTGTCAAGCTATAAGTCAATTTACATGTCAGGTATCTTGCCTTGGAATTCACATATTTAATTCCAATATATTGGTTATATTTTTTTGAGTATAAATGTCTCCAGTATGAGGAAAAACATCAAAAGATTTGAATGCGACTCAATGGAGGTTGGACTTTCCGAGCCACCGGGCGCCCCCTGCCCTGGTCATTCACACTATCTGTTGTACGCAGACACAGGGGTCTATCAACATCGAAGAGCTGAGATGGTCAGCGGTTTCTGGTGACCGAGAAGCGTCATAAAGAGCACCTGTTTGTGTGGATCACGACTTGCCAACCCGATATGTATGCGGCTGAACCCCGGAAAACCAGCAGAAACTAATATTCACGGGAGTAATAGTTTGATTTGTGTCATTTCAGAAGAATGACAGCTCAGAAACATAAACACGGACTCCTGGCTATTAAAGAGTTAGAGAATGTTCTGGACACATGTAAACTTGATCTAACTCCAGTTGACGAGGTCTGGCCGAACCTGTACATCGGAAATGTGTAAGTAGCCTACATAACTATGCGGTATCGTACCATTAGCTCTTATTTAAAGATTTATAGCACGCAAGCAATGTCATTGTGGTTTACATTTAGTCTTATTATATTATCTTTATATTTAAGGATTTGAGAAGATACTATTCTATTCAAAGCTACTTATTTGATTGAGATTCAATCATAATGTGCATCCCGTCTAGTTAAATCAATTCTGCAGTTGCTTCACTTTTAATGCTATATAGTGGTTGTCCTGTTACATTACATAACACATTTTCACTTTTTTATAGGGCCATTGCTCAAAATAGAAAAGCTTTGCAAAAAATGGGCATCACTCATGTTTTAAATGCTGCCCATTCCAAGCAAGGCAGCATTGGGGACCAGAGTTATTATGGAAATACAATTGTATATTATGGCATCCCAGCAGAAGACACTTCATCGTTTGATCTTAGTGTGCACTTTAAACCGGCTTCTGATTTCATCCACAAAGCTTTGAGGAAGAAGAATGGTAAGTGACCGCAGTCAGTGATGCTAATTTAATGCAAAAATGCAAAACAAGTCGATCAAAATGCACTGGGGAGGAATTTGAAGTCCATTTTAAACTAACACGGATTCATAATTGTTAATATAGTTAAGATACAAGTATTTCTCAAACCTTTCCCTGTCATAAATAACCCATGAGATAAGAACTCATTTTAAATACAATTTAAAACCATCCATCCATAGTTCGAGACTTTTACATAATTTTGAGGACAGAAAAAGAAACTTGTTCTGTTGTTAAAATACTCTGAAAACAGCTGCATTTCCTCTTTATCTCTTTGAATTCCCCTCTAAACCTGAAAGCAACCTATCTTGATTCTGAAATGCTTTATAATACAGATATCCATTTTTAATGAAAAGGTTCATTTCAATAGTACTAGCAGCTCCTCCTGACCATTACGGTCTGTGTCTTTTATCCGCAGGTAAGGTGCTTGTTCATTGCATCATGGGAATGAGTCGTTCTGCCACTCTGGTTCTAGCGTACCTTATGCTGCGTCAGCGTCTTACTCTCCGCACTGCCATCCAAACGGTTGTTTTGCGACGTGCAATCTATCCTAACAGGAACTTTTTGAGCCTTCTCCTGGATTTGGACATTCAGCTTCAGAGAAAGCGAATGCTGTGTCCTATTCTCTGACAGAAAAACAACACAAATGTAATGAACACACAAAAGCACATGCATTCATTTTATAACTAAACGGTGAAGAGGTAACAAGCAATGATATGTTTACATTATTTATGATATATATATATATATATATAGTCAAACCAAAATGTATTCAGACACCCTCAACATTTCTCACATTATCACAGTTAATTCGCTATAGTTTAGAAAATGGTAATAAAATATGACAAGAACTCAGAGTTATCAAATCAGTTGATATTTCACTGGTTTCGGCCATTAGACTGTCTCAACAATGAATTAGGTTGAGTAGCTGTTAAATTTAAGTACAGAATTAGATAATACCAATTTAGGTTAACCAATTACCAAGCAATGCTTAATTTTGTTCAGTATGTGGTGTAAAAAGGTCGCATTAGCAATTAAAGAAAAAAAAACTTTAGCAAAACATGGTCAGGTCAAAGTGTCTGATTAATTTTTGGCCCCAGATTTTTATCAACTTTACTGGTATACCACTGTATGAAGAATCTTTTGGTATAAAATGGCACAGTTTACTTTATTTTGCTATCCTCACTTACATAAATTAACTATAGTGTTCTGCACCCACTAAAAAAATATAAAAATTTATATCGGGTGTCTGAATAATTTTTGGTTTGATTGCATATATAGTTTCATAGTAAAAACATGTGCCTTTCAGGTTTAGTGTAGGCCATCTCTGTACTTTTCCATACATTTACAGGGTTATTTTATATATAATATGCTATAATTTATATGCTATAATATGCTATAAATTGTACTGCGATAATTTAGCTATAAAAACACATTAATGTTTTAAAAATATTTAACTTACTGGCATGTTTGCATAGTCATATTAACATGGGGGATTTCACTGTACAATGTAGTGTAACTGAAGAATTATGTCGAAGAATGGTGTTTTTTATGAAAATCTGTTTGATATATTCTAGAACCACAGCACACAAGTGCCACATGCTGCTCACACAGCAAAACATATTTAACAGTGGAGTCAGTATAGAACACCAAATTAAGCAGTATTAAATGATTGAATTGAGGTTCATTATTCGGCTGCAGAGAAAACACTCCCTGTGAGCAGTATTAGCTTTTACGTTGCTTTTGGCAGCCAAATCTGGAGAACTATACGGGCCAAGCACAACATTCTTCTGTTGACTCAATCCTAAAAGCCTTGTTTAAAATGACTGAGCAGCACTCGCTGATTTGATTTTTAGTGCACCTTTTTGTTTTAATAGCAGAATAATGTGTCTCATTCAGGTCATTGATTCACAGAAGTTCCTTTGTTATCTTGGAGAACATTTACTGGTGTATAAACAGTTTTGTCAAATGCACTGTATACTTAAAACATTTAATTGGACATGAAACACTATTGACCATGAGCAGGATGAATATTCAATTGGTCACAGTATCTTTTGAAAGTATAACAACTGCACTAGTGGATTCATATACAGATGTTTCATGAACAGATACAAACAAGGTGCCAAATAAACTTAATTTGTATCTGTATTGACTTAAAAAATAAACAAATGTGAAAGTGCTTTGTTTTTGCATGTTAGTTAGGCAAACCCAATGATAGTATATTTGCGAATATTTACCTGTATACTAAGTTCATAATAATTCTGAAAATAACAATGTAATTTCTAACATTTCTTGTTTTATATGTAATACATTTCCAATCATTTACCTCACATGTTAAGATATGCAAGTTATGTGTCAGTTATAATATTAACTAGATGACCCTTTCTAGGGTATAACTTTATTCATTTATTCTGTACTTTGATTAATTTTCCCTGTGTGCTTCCGACTGCTTCCAGCAGGGTTCAGTGCTGTGCCATGAAAAAGATCAAATTAAAATCTTGCTGTTTTTTATGCTGTGTGTCCTCGCATAACATTTTCCTTTTTTCTTATGCTACATTAACACAAGCCTCTTTTGTGAAGTTCAACGACATAAAAAAAATGCTACATTGATAAATAGATTATAGATTCAAACCTGTCCTTTATCATTTGTCAATGACATTTCATCATGCAAATGTAATTTAAGAGAACCGTAACCAACCAAGATTGTAATAGAACAGCATTAACCCACAGAAACCTCGAGGAGAGAAACTAACTCCTCTGGACTGTCGTCACCCTGACAGCGTGACCTGCAGCTGTGCAACCAGAGGAAGCAGGACCCACACGAGTCCCCGGACATACTTCGCTTTCAGAGAATATTCAATTAAGACAGTACTTTGCTTCCTGATTAGCTGCTTGGCATACACTGTACGATGATAAATCATGGAAGCAGTTGAGAAGAGAAACAGGCAACAGACGCAAACAGCTAAGCCAAGTGTGTGTATATATTCTGCTAAGCGAAGTCATCTGCTGAATTGACTGTGGAGGAACCAGAGGCACAGAGGGGGTGATGTTGATGACCACATTAGTGTCACAAAAGTGCTCTGGAAAACAGATGCATCTGTACGTGATTGCATTGTGTCAGTGTTTTCTCAGGGAAGACTGTCAAGCCTGAGATATCATGGATAAAAAGAACAAACAGATCAGCCCAGCAGCAACATATACTTTGGCTTAAACAAACTGCTTTGAAGAAATAGCAATAGAAAAGCATAGCTAAAAACATACACCATGTAAGCATTTTTTTTAAAGACTGCATTTAATTTATTACAAATACAGTAAATATATATATATATATATATATATATATATATATATATATATATATATATATATATATATATACATATATATGATGAATAGAATGTTCAAAAGAACAGCATTTATTTGAAATAAAAATATATATATCAGTGTAAACGTGTTTACTGTTACTTTTGATCAATTTAATATATCCTTCCTGAATAAAAGTATTAGAAATTATTACTAACCCCAAACTTTTAAATGGTAGAGAAAATGTTACTCTGAAGGAAAAAAAAATCCATTACTTTTAAAACCACATAAGAAAAGCAGGCTGAATGATTCATGGATTGGATCTACCATGACAATTTGAACTTGGCAAATTTGGACCACTTAATACAAATTACATACAATGCATTTCCAAATAAAGATTAAATAAAGCCAGTCAGTGTAGGCCACTGCACTGTATTATTTGATTCAACAGGACAAGGACTTTAAAAAAGAAACAAAAGTCTATTCAAATCCTTGAAACATACGGTATTATCGTAATTTATTCGTATACAGTATGTGGTTTCAGTAATAGTAAGTAATAAGCAGATCTTGAGAAGGAACAGGTGTATGTGGCTTTCACACCCAAGCCATTAATTCCTTTTTATTAGCTTCATAAAACCGTAATTACTATGGGTCTCAAAGCTTATTTTACCGGCATGGAAAGAACAACTCTTAGTTAAGTCTTTTCCTGTTTTACACAAGTAGCAGCTGAGCACTAACTAAACTGTTTCAGCTGGAGTACAAAAAAGACAGCATATCTTTGAGAGGGGTATCTGACACGCTCCAATTACCGAACATGTCACCGCACTTGGAAGTGCAAAGATCTCACCATTTATCAGAGACTCGCCCTCAAGGCAAATGAAAGGAACATCTGGATTTCAAGAGTGTTTAACCTAGCAGCTGGCGAGACCTCGTGAGATGATGTGTATTTCCCTGCACAATGACTCATGATAAAGATGTATGTGTCCAATGAAAGCCACTGATGACCCACCTTTACCTTCGTCTGCACTGCAAGAGTGAGTTACAGTATTGGGAGTCTGGCCAAGATATACACAATATGTGCAGCCAGAACATGCTCAAAAGATCATTGTCTAGGGAAAGACAGTCTTCTAAAAGCAAACCTGACTGCCCACTAAGACCTGGAAGAGCTCTTTGTATCCAGGGAGGTTTATAATTATACACCATTTAAAAAAAGAAACAGCCTCCAGAGACATATCTGTGGACTGGCTGTCAACAACGTCCCTGACCAAGGAGAGAAGAGCAGGCAATCTGAGAACAAGGGGGGAAAAAAGGGCCACCGGCTGCTAAATGTAAGTTCACAAAAGGAAGGGAGATTTTAGAGGCTCTTAGAAAGTAACATTTTGGTGTTTTTGAGAATTATTATGAAAGCTAGCCTCAGTGAATCGCTCACAGCTCTGGCATCGCACGTTTTCTTTCGCACACCTGAGCTGTAAAGATGTTTGCCACGACAGTCAGGAAATCCTAAGTGGAATGATATTCCATAAAAGCCGTCAGTATTCATTTTAATGATGTTAAGAGCTGAATTGGAGTGTCAGTGTGCTCTTAGCAACAAGAAGATTTTACAAGCAACAGCCTCAGGTGGGCTCAACTATGGGCTATTTTTAAATAAAGAGGGATGGAGAATGCATCTAAACTGTATATCAGGCATATTAACATGATAATATCCAAACCCTTACTGTAATTTTATTTATTTATTTTTGGGTCAGGATGTCTTTCAAGGAGCTGTGTGCCTATGAAACACCATCCGTTGCTGAACTGCAGAACTTCCTGTTGAGTGACAGACGGCCCACTGGACATGTCAACCAAGTGTGGCCTAATGTGTACATTGGCAATGAGTGTGTATTATTTTTTCTATTCACAAATGGAAATTAATAAAATGTACAGAACTACACAGATGTTCTCTGTTTTGTTTTGTCAGGGTTGCGGCACGTGACAAGTCAATGCTGTACAATATGGGGATCACACACATTGTGAATGCTGCTAGTGGACCCCCTCATGTCAACACTGGAGCCCGCTTTTACAGAGACATGTCTATAGATTACTATGGAGTGGAGGCTGATGATTCCTCAGACTTCATATTAAGTGTATTTTTCTATCCAACAGCAAGGTTCATACGAGCTGCACTGTCAAAAAATGGTGAGTTGACTTGACATCCTCATGAACATGCTTGATGCAATATTTTCGCTATACAACTGGCTAGAATAACTTTCAGCATAAATATTCAGTAACGTTACCTTTGCTTTGCCTAGCTTGGGGAATGCTTAATTTTCCAACCTGCCATAGGCTTTATGCTGAGCGTCACGTGACCAAACCGGAAAACGGGTCTCATTGCATCCGCTTGTCAGAGAAAGTGTTAACGGCCGTAAGAACTAACTACGATATCTATGGATTTTTAAGGTAATCAGCTAACCTACTAAGTTCACTTTGTTATTGGTGTTTTATGCTATTTAAATATCTAAACGTTAGTGTGAAGAAGAAAAATTAAAAAACTTTTAAATATCAATCTGCACATGCGAGGGACATTGGTTATGCTCATTTTTGCTTGCTCCTTTTAAGTTATCTTGAGTAAAACCGCTCATTGTATGTGCTTCTCATGAAGCACATACAAAAGACCTGAATCGGAAGCGATGTGATCTGTTTTCCGGCTTGGTTCGATCAGTTCGACGTTCAACGCATGCGCACTACAACTTGTCATACTAGTAGGCTACCATAGGCTACTAGGCTGCGTTCCAGTCCAAAATTGTCATGCCCTTCACTCGCTAACTTCCCTCCGTCTCGTTCACTCGGATGTACGTCAGTGCTTACGTTGGACGAGTGCCCACTACTGGCGGAAACTGAAGCTGAACTGGAACGTCCTAAGCCCTTGATCACTTGGAATCAGCCATGGAGTTGATTTATTATTTAATTTAGTTTCCCTTTAAGAATTTGTTTAAGGCAGCATCCAAATGTATATAGATGTGTTTGGGTTGTTTAAAAAAATTAAAAAAAGTCATAATTAATATATCATAGAGTTTTTTTTGTGGTGGTGGTGATTAGACGAGATATATGGTGACGTCACAAGCGTGTTGCATTGTGGTATATGGAAATGCCTGAAGTGTACATATGAAGTAGACTCGCTCCCTCGGTCAAAATCGAGGGAACGAGGGTCTGTCCATATAAACTTCCCTCGTCCACTTCACGAAGTGGAACGCACTTCAAAATGGCGGCAGGGATTCCCCCGAGGGGAAGTGCTTAGGGAAGTTCGCAAGTGCGTGTCTAAAAGTGGACTGGAACGCAGCCCTAGACTAGTAACGTTAACGTGTTTCCACCTTCGCCAGCCGTTTTTATTTCCATTTTCCGCTCCCTTTTCGATTAGTTTTTAAAATAAGCGCCACCAATTAGATAAACAATTTGTGCATTCTATTCCAGTCTCACGTGCAGACGCTGCATTTTCACGCACATAATGGAAAATATAGTTGGAATCGAAACTTTCGAAATTCTGAATCAATTGAACCAATTGCTTCACAAAATGGCTCACTGTTTCGAAGCGCTCAAAACTCCAAAAGCTGACGGCACAAACTGGTCAAAACAGTGTAAATGGAACGTGAAGAGGTGCATAAAGACACCTTTTACAAATTACAATTTTTTTTATGACAGCTGTACTGTAATATATTAAATCTAATCTACAAATCATTAAATACCATTAATTATGAAGTGTGTTTATGAAATTTATTAAATTCAAAAAGTTTCAAAACCAAGGTTTTCGAAGCCTCGTTTGCTGAAATAAGGTGAGTTGGCCGGTTTAATACATGCTCCAATCCACCAATTCATAAAAAAAGGTTTTGAAGCTCCATGAACCAGTGTTTTGAAAGCATCCATCATGTCTAACCGTTCATTTTAAATCATTCATTTCTAACCGCATCAATCATTCTTTTGGCTATAGTAAAAGTAGCATTTGCACTGTCTTGTCTTGCATTGATTCTGTTCTGTTCTTCAGGAAGAGTGTTTGTCCACTGTCTGATGGGAGTGAGTCGCTCTTCCACTCTAGTGTTGGCCTTCCTCATGATCTGTGAGGATCTTACTCTAATGGAGGCTGTTAAATCTGTACGGCAACACAGGGACATCTGTCCTAATCCTGGCTTCCTTAACCAGCTACGACATTTAGACATGAGCCTCGTCCGAGAGAGGAAGAAAAAACTGGAAGCTTACAAATTGTAACTGAAAACTTGGTAACAATGTGATGAATCCCATTTCAAGAGCATGTCCCTTAAGGGCCTCCTCCCCCATGGCCTTGTCCTAGTTATTTTGGGCCAGATCTTATTTGCTAATATCCATTGTAGTGCAATGGCAAAGTGGGTATCAGAAGACAAAATTGAAGGGCTTCCCCATAAATAGTAAATAACCTCCACAGGGCAGCAGGGTCACAAAATAAATGGCAGGTTTTTAAATTTCTTCCAGATGAAATATACTTTGAACTTGTTTCAAAATGAGCCAGCAAGCATGTTTGGTTTTTTTACTGGAGTGAAATGAAACGGTTGTGGCTTGCTCTTTATCATGGGAAGGTGGAAGAGCCATGCATGGCTACATGTCTTAAGGGTTGATCCCCTGTAGTGAGTTTCTAATGGGTATCATATGTTCCAACATATTTACTGTTTCTGCTCAAATCCATTGGTGTTGTGACCCACGGATATTGGTGAAACTGATGACCAAACCAAATTGTGATAAAACATTTAAATTTCTCAGTCCGGTGAAAAAAAAAAAAAAAAAAATCACATTGTGTCCTTTCTTTTCTTGTTGCTATTAAATAAATGACACAGTACCTCAGGAATTATGTGTTGTTTTGTTTTGGAAAAGGACATCCGTTCATCTTCACCTAATTTCCTTTTGGACTGTGAAGGCAAACATGATTACAGAAGCAGAAAGGTCAAACTAATATGTGTAAATACAAACTGTTCCATTAAATATGCATTGACTTAACACAGAATATAAAGATATCATTGATTCTATTGATTTCTAACTTTTTTTTTTTACAGAAAAGCTCCAAAAGACAAACCATTGCGCCATCTATATCGGATCTGTGGTATCTGCTGCTGACTAACAGACTAACCTTTCGGACCTGTCAGTCTTATCTGGCCCAGCCTGTATATTGGAGATTGGTAAATACGGAGTCATCACAGTCTTGAGAAGAAACACAAACTAGCCAAGATATCAGTGAAAATCCAAAGCTTCACACTATACCTGTGCCTTTAAAGGTGCTCTATGTAACTTTTCTACTAAAATGAATCCTTTTTTTATTGCCTGTGTGTGAAGGGGTTGTTATCACACATTAAAATGATCCCCTTGTCGAGTTTTGCTATTACCTCTGAAGGCCAGTATTCCTATTTCTATGTGAAGTCTCCGGGTCGGATTTACCGCGAAATCCAACGGATGTGACGTGCATGCGCGCTCCCGAGCCTCTCTCCTTATATACAGTCTACTGTAGACGGTCAGGGAGTTACGTCCGGTTAAAGGCGCACGTTTTTCGGCTTATATCTCAGTCAATCTTTGATCAATATTCCCAAGACTCTAATTGTTCGTAGTGCTGGACGGGGCCTTTCGAACGAGCCCACCCCCGAGGTCCAACTCGCCCGGCTCCCCGAGTTAAAGCCGTTCGAAATCGGGGGTCCCAGCGAACGGCGATCCGGTAGGGGGCATCCCCGAGGCCCGCCACTCTAGCGTTCGGGCAAGGGTTCCCCTGGGACCTCCTCCCCCGAATTTGAGCTCTCTGTGTCTTTGCGTTCCAGAGATACGAGCGATCTTCTGAGATAGTGACGTCACCGGCGTCCGCAATTTTGCAGCGCGCCCGATGGTTTTCTGCTAATATCTCCGCGAAAACACCACCAAAAACTATGGAACTTATATGGTTCTTTTCAGCTCGACTAGATGGTCCCAACGAGCTCGGTGCTCGCCGAATCCGTCTAGTATTCGCCGAGATATTTGCGTAATAGACGGTATTGTCTATGAGTTCGAGCACGAGCGCTCTTGTAAAATTTGGTTGCAATCTGAAACATCACCACTAGAGGCCGCTAAAACTTACATAGAGCACCTTTAACTACGGTTCAATTTATGTACCGCGTATGTAAATTATGTAATCAAAAACATGAAGACATGTTAAAAAGCTGGTCATTTCAGCTCAACGGCTCATGATAAAGGACTTCTTGCTGATCTGGGAATCACTCATTTGGTAAACTGTGCCGACGGACCGCATCGCATCAACACAGCACAGGTATAAGCTACTGTGGAGTCGAGGCTTCAGATCACCCACTGTTTGATTTGAGCCAGTATTTCAGCTTTATTGCATCCATTAAAGCTGCACTCACTCAAAATGGCAAGTCTAACTTCCTTGAACTTTTACTGATTCACTTTGTCAGTGATTGTATAAAATCTAAAACAAGCAGAGCAAAACTATAAATGGAGCAGTGCAAAAATCACCAGGCAGTACAGTCGTTTTAATAAGTGAAATATGTCAATTGTAACCAATGTCAGACATGGAGGCTCTTTGTATTCTGCAGGGAAAGCGCTGGTCCACTGTGCAATGGGAGTCAGTCGGTCCGTAGCTTTGGTCCTGGCCTTCCTCATGATGTGTGAGAACCTCACCCTCACTGACGCCATCATCGCTGTCAGATTGAAAAGGGGCTTCTATCCCTCAGGCTTTCTAGAACAGCTTTCTGGACAACCATTTGAAGATACCAGGAAAACGTACGTACGTATATATATATATATGACAATCACTAAAAACTGACTGCAAAAAACAACATTTTGACAGAAGTGTCGTTTCTCACTAAGGCTGCATTTATTTAATCAAAAATACAATATTTATTAGTAATATTTTACAATTTTATTACAATTCACAATAACTGTTTTCTACTTGAATATATTTTAAAATGTAATTTATTCCTGTGATGACAAAGCTGAATTTTCAGCATCATTACTCCAGTCTTCAGTGTCACATGATCCTTCTGAAATCAGTCTAATATGCTGATTTGGTGCTCAATATTTTTCTGAAAACCTTGATACATTTTCAACCCTGAAAAAAAATCTTATTGACACCAAATTTTAAACAGTATAGTGTAAATAATGACTAATGTTTTGATACACGCAAGGGACATAAGAGTATGCAGCTTCATATCAAATGATCAATCAACTAATGTGGTATGGCTGTAATACCGTTTCAACTGAAAGAAGTTATACATAAGAAGAGGATTGTGCCACTATCTCAGACATGAAGTATGAAGATCACCTCCACAGCCAGATATTTCTTTACATTTTCTACATTACACGCATATGCTAAAACATATTTAAAGGGAGTATATAAAACAATGTCGGTCGGAAATATAGCTAGCGACACTAATGTTTTTGGAACATATGTGCTGGAATGATTTGAAATTCATGAAAATTAAGACCTCGTCTCACAGTAATAGAGCTGCTTTTGTGGGAAAGAAAGAAGATTTCAAGGTTGAAGGAATAAGTGAACCTGACAAAACAGTAAAAGGAATTCAACATCACCAATTTAATGACTTCCCTGTCAAGGTGAGTGATGGTGGTGAAAAAAAACATCCAGTGCTGATGGTTTTGAAAACCATCCCTCTCCGGAGATGATTCATGTGTCCTTTTCACATATCTGGGAAGCGAAAAGCAATTACCATTCCATTTGCAGCGGCCAAGCTCGCATTACAGAGACTGTGTTAAACTCGGTTCAAAAAAGAAACACCTTTTGGATTAAATTACAAGCACAGCTCTACAGAGATTTCCTATTTTTGTCAAATTTAGTCACTGGGCGCCAGGAAGGACAGCTGCCTGTAGGAGGGCTCGCAGCAGGCAGTGTAAGGAGGGAATAATTGGCTGGTGGAATTGGGCCCAGGCTGTACCGTCTCCTCTGGGACAAAAGTCAGATTCACTGGCCTTTGACTGAAGCTGCCATCTTCTGTCACGATCCACAAACATGATAACACAAGCACGGTGCGTCATGAGAACATGAATTTTTTTCATTATGGATATTCAAATCTGCATAATGATGGGCTTGGGTATATTTGACGGGTGTCTTATGGACAAATTTTCTCATGTTGATTTTAAGCAGTTTTTAAGGAGCAAACATGCTGTGCACAGATATACAAACAAGCTTTTCGTTCATAACAGGGTTTCAGGCGGACAGCGATGTACCCCATTTCATATTTCTGGGTTTGGAATAAATCATAAGAAGGGTAACTTCTATATACATACGTGTGAGACCACATCATATACACTCACCTAAAGGATTATTAGGAACACCCGTTGAATTTCTCATTAATGCAATTATATCAACCAATTACATGGCAGTTGCTTCAATGCATTTAGGGGTGTGGTCCTGGTCAAGACAATCTCCTGAACTCCAAACTGAATGTCAGAATGGGAAAGAAAGGTGATTTAAGTAATTTTGAGCGTGGCATGGTTGTTGGTGCCAGACGGGCCGGTCTGAGTATTTCACAATCTGCTCAGTTACTGGGATTTTCACGCACAACCATTTCTAGGGTGTACAAAGAATGGTGTGAAAAGGGAAAAACATCCAGTATGCGGCAGTCCTGTGGGCGAAAATGCCTTGTTGATGCTAGAGGTCAGAGGACAATGGGCCGACTGATTCAAGCTGATAGAAGAGCAACTTTGACTGAAATAACCACTCGTTACAACCGAGGTATGCAGCAAAGCATTTGTGAAGCCACAACACGCACAACCTTGAGGCGGATGGGCTACAACAGCAGAAGACCCCACCGGGTACCACTCATCTCCACTACAAATAGGAGGCTACAATTTGCAAGAGCTCACCAAAATTGGACAGTTGAAGACTGGAAAAATGTTGCCTGGTCTGATAAGTCTCGATTTCTGTTGAGACATTCAGATGGTAGAGTCAGAATTTGGCGTAAACAGAATGAGAACATGGATCCATCATGCCTTGTTACCACTGTGCAGGCTGGTGGTGGTGGTATAATGGTGTGGGGGATGTTTGCTTGGCACACTTTAGGCCCCTTAGTGCCAATTGGGCATCGTTTAAATGCCACGGCCTACCTAAGCATTGTTTCTGACCATGTCCATCCCTTTATGGCCACCATGTACCCATCCTCTGATGGCTACTTCCAGCAGGATAATGCACCATGTCACAAAGCTCGAATCATTTCAAATTGGTTTCTTGAACATGACAGTGAGTTCACTGTACTAAAATGGCCCCCACAGTCACCAGATCTCAACCCAATAGAGCATCTTTGGGATGTGGTGGAACGGGAGCTTCGTGCCCTGGATGTGCATCCCACAAATCTCCATCAACTACAAGATGCTATCCTATCAATATGGGCCAACATTTCTAAAGAATGCTTTCAGCACCTTGTTGAATCAATGCCACGTAGAATTAAGGCAGTCCTGAAGGCGAAAGGGGGTCAAACACAGTATTAGTATGGTGTTCCTAATAATCCTTTAGGTGAGTGTATATACACAAAAGTTTACATACACCTTGCAAAATGTTAATTTTAACAAAATAAGAGGGAACATACAACATGCATGTTATTTTTACACATTCCACAAGAAAAAAGCTGAATTTTTAAAAATACCTAATACTGTGTGTCGTTATGATCCACAACTGTTTTTGTTTTGTTTTGTAATGGTGGTTCGTTCTTGAGTCCTTTGTTTGTCCTGAGCAGTTAAACTGCCCAATGTTCTTCAGATCTAGCAAATTCTTCAGATCAAGGTAAATTATAGGCTACTTAATTTGTCTTCTGGCAAACATGTAAGTATCTTCTGTTGCTTCCGAAGGGCAGTAG